AAAAAAAAAAAAATAGCCACAGTGTTAAGGCGCGTAACTCGGCGACGATGTGTGAATACAAGTGCGGTCGGTCACCAGTAATGCGTCGACAAGAGATGGGTGGTGATGATGATGAGCGTGAAGTGTACAGGTAGATTGAGTGATCGCAGTGTTAAGGCGCGCGATCCGGCGGCTGTGACGCAATGCTGTTAGATACTCGATACAATTGTCGGAACGTGGGAGCTGGAACAGAGATAGAGAGGCGTGTACAGCAGACGCGGAATGGATGCATGGCCCAGCGCAGGGCAGCTCAAACCAAGTTGCTAGGATAGAGGTGCGTGTCGATAGGCAAGAAGGATTCCGAAATGGTTCTTGCGCTAACAAACCTCAAGAAGACCTGCATAGATCCGGCCTTGTCGTTGGTTCCGCTGGCTCTGGCACCACCAAAAGGCTGCTGACCGACGACTGCACCGGTGCACTTGCCGTTGATGTAGAACATGCCGCTCGAGTTTCTCAGCAAATTCGTCGCTTTCACCACTGCTGATCGATCCTGCGCAAAGATGCTTCCAGTGAGCGCATACTCGGTAGTCGTGTCGATGAGCTGGCACGTCTCTTCGAACTCGTTGTCCGGGTATGCATAAACCTGTCCAGAAGTGAGCACCGCGAAATCTAAGCTGTCCATGCATTGCACGAATCAAGAGGGTGCCCGCTCACTCACAGTAACGACTGGACCGAAAATCTCGTTGATCATCGTAACGCTGCGCGGGTCGGTGGTCTCAATGACAGTGGGCTTGACATAGAAGCCTTTTGAATCATCACCGGTCCCTCCAGCAATGATTTTTCCTCCATCCTTCTTGGCAGCTTCAATCAGGCTGATGATCTTGTCAAAGCTATGCTTGGCAATGACTGGGCCCATGAAATGCTTGAAGTCCTCGACTGGACCCTGCGAAATGCTTTGCAAGCTCGCCAAAAGCTTTTCCTTGAATCCTCCGGGCTTGGACCACAGACTTTGAGGGACATAGAGCCTACTGAGCGCGCTGCACTTCTGTCCTTGATACTCGAACGCGCCTCGAACGGCTTGGTGCACAGCTGTGTCGATATCGGCGCTCGGATGAACGAGGTGAAAGTTCTTTCCTCCTGTCTCTCCTACGATGCGAGGGTACCCAGTGTACTTGTCCATGTTGGACGCAATCTGCTTCCACAAGTGTCGGAAGACGTGAGTGGAGCCGGTGAAGTGCAGGCCAGCGAAAGACTTGTGCTCGATTGCCGCTGTGGCAATCTCCTCTGCGGGTCCGGGCACAAATTGGATGACGCCGGGTGGCATGCCAGCCTCTTCAAAAATCTTGTAGATCAGATAATTGCTGTAAATAGCCATGGGGCTCGGCTAAGGACATTGTGTAGCACAGATGAATGACTGTGAGAAACTGGTACTAGCGGCTTGGATCGCAAACCCCTGCAGCATGATGACTCCTCACCTTCCAAACGGCAACGTTGCCCACTAGTGTGGGTACGCCTGTGTGACAGAACCCGGCAAAGTACTTAGCCCACATGTAGGGCATCGGCGACGTGGGGCGGCTAGACTCACCGACAAGGTTGGCTGCGATGGCAGTGAAGTTGAAAGGAGAGATGGCAAAGATGAAGCCTTCGAGAGCTCTGTACTCCATTCGGTTGTACATTCCCTTCGCGTGTTCGGACGGTTGCACTTTGTAGAGCTCATCGACAAACTGTTTGGAGTGCACGTTCGATCTCATTCAGCTGGATGTATGCGGTCATCGATGCTTCGGAGCGTGACACGCACCTTGACGCCGAATCGCAAGAAGTCACAGGTTTCTGCTGCCGCATCCTGAAGCTCGCGAGCGAGATGAGAGGGTGAGCGCTCCATATCAGACGCCCTTTTGAGCATCATGCGCATCCACTCACAATCTCTGCTTGCCACACGTTCTTTCCCTGGCCGAGCACTGCAAGCAAGCACGGCGCGTCGTAGCGTCAGTGCCATGGACTCGATTGACTCTCTTCGTAGGCACACCCTACTCACTCGTGGCAGCCATGAGAGGAAAGCGGTACTTGCCAGCGATGAGGTCCGCCGCTTTCAGAAAGATGGCAGCCCTATCCGCAAAAGGCATAGCTTCCCAGTCCTTCTTGGCAGCCAGAGCGCCATCAATGGCCTTGCGGGTCAAGTTCGCATCAGCTTCCTGATAGCGACACAGTGCCTGAGAATGATTGCTCGGGTTCAATTGTTGAGCCGTTTTGCCAGACTGGACGGCCTGTCCGTTGATGATCAGTGGAACGTCAAAGGGAGCAGAAGCGAGCATCGAGTCCACAGCCGCTTGCAGACCAGCTCGGTCAGACGATTTCGGCTCATAGTTGCGCTGCATACGCAAACATGTAGGGAAGTGCAAGGGGACCATCAGGTCGGAATGCTCGATCAGCAGGCCGAGTCGGTATGCATCACTGAGTGACGACGAGCGTGACTCACCATTGGCTCATTGAGAGTCCTGGGCAAGCCAAAGTGGCCAAGTTGCGGGGCAGGCATCGCCATGATTGTGTTAGGAAGGTGAGGAGCGCAGATTCAGCAAATGGCTTGTACGGAACCCAGCGGTCGAAGGATGTATCATCCACGCGAGCGCGGCGTCACTGGTCGAGGTGGGAGGGGTGGGAGGGGTGGGAGAGAGGTAAGAGCGGAGTCAAGTGTGTGAGTACACGGGATAGGTTTCTAACTCCCGTCCATCGACTGTTGCATGGGCGAGCAACTAGGTGGACTCCTTTGAGGCGAACTCACGATTGCTGCGATAGGGATGCGCCCGCCCCACCGGCAAGGCGAGGCGAGCAAAGCTCACATTCGAGCACAACCTCATCAGGGCTTTTCCGCCCGCCTCTTTCCAACAGTGGGGCGGCAGCAGCAGCCGCCTGGATGAAGAGGTGTTGGACCCTCGACACGCGCCTGCAGCAGCAGCAACAGCAAGCGCTGCATATCAGCGTGGTGGCGCTGCGCGTGTATAGAGATAAGCCGCGGCGCTTGCATGCAAGCGAGCGAAGACGGCCCGAAGTTAAAAGCATCAGCACAAACGGTCAAGCGCTGCTGCTGGCTTGGCCCCCATCCAGTCACACACGAGTGCGCGCGAAGCTGATTCTATCAGTCACGAGTGTGAGTATCAGGCCCACAAGAAGTCTAGCAAGCAGGCGGATCGCATTCAGTCTCGTAACGATCTTGTGCGATTATGTACAACGGAGCACTTGGTGAGAGCGGGCAAGAAGTCTAATGCAGTCTTGGGTCCATGGTGCCGCTCTGAGCGCAGCTTGACGCGTGTCCACCAACCGGACTTAGTGGTCAATGATGGACAGGTTGCCGCTGATCAGCTTGTTTTCCAGCACACTTCCATCCGGAATGGTGATGTGGCTGCCTTCGGTGGCGATGATGATGACGGTACCAGCAAGGATGACTTTGCGTCCGAAAACCACATCTCCCGAGACAGTAAGGTGATCCAGGTCCGCAATGTTCGGGATCGTCTTGAATCTCTTCTGGAAGTTGGCCACCTTTTTAAAAGTGTCTCCCAGTTTGATGACTGGAGTTTGGGTGAACTGCCTTGAAGCGCTCATCAGCAACTTGCCGTGCTCCAATGTGTACAGGTCTGAAGTGATGAGCAAGAGATCTCCGGTGCTCTTGACTGGCAGGAAGCGAGATCTGGGCACGTTCACGCCTTTTGCACCTCGGAAGTGCTTGATAGCTGCGCCGACTGCTGTCTCCAGCTGAATCACAGCCTCGCCATTGTCGAGCGATTTGTTGTTGACAATGATCTCGAGGTCAAGCTCATCATTTTCAAGCACGCGCTTGATAGCCCTCAGGTTGAGCCACAGGTTGTTGGTGTTGAACTGCAAGCAAGCATGGGGTGTGAGCGGGGAAACTGCATGAGCAATTCGCGCACTTCAAGGCGCTTTCCTGTCACAAGGAGTGCACTCACGATCTTGAATTTCTTGACACTCTTGAACTCTTCAGTGTGCTCACTTGGAACCTGGGCAATTTCCAGCAATCTGATGGTTCCGTTGTAGTCGATCAGAGTACCACCCTTGACATCAGCCTTGGTCTTGTCCGTAACCTCAGAAATGAATTCAGCCTGCGTGTCGATCATGTGTTGATAGATGTTCAGGTCCACCACAGCGCCCAAGTTGTCAACATTTGACACGAAGACTGGGAAAAGGAAGTGGTTCTTCCATGAATCAGCAGGCGCAAGCGAAATAGCGTAGTCAATCCGAGCCCAACGTACTGTGCTCTTTGCCTGCAGCAATCAAGCGGTCCAGCAAGCCGGAATTGTGCATAGCGTCGAACAAGTCTCCGTGTCCGGGTGGGTACCATAAGCTCTTGTCGGAGGTGGCGCTGCGAGGGCAAGGGAGGAGGCTTTCCTTGTTCACACGGGGGTAGCGTGATTGGTTGAATGTTAGGATCTCGACGTTGTGGTTTGCGTACTTCTGAATGACTCGAGCTACAGGAGAAGTTATGGCACGAGTCAGTCAGAGTGAGCAGTGTGCTGACCCCACTCCCTTCGGCCTCACCTGTGTCGTCATCAGTGTTGAAGGAATTCATAAGGATGAGAGGGACATTGACGTTGTGGCTGGAGTTCAAGTGCTATTAGATGAGAGGAATTGCATACCATCAGCGACTCGACCTGCACAACAGAATGGCGCCAAAAGCGCTCACCTCGATCTGCCTGACTGAAAGGTCCAGGAAAGTCATGCCCTCGCGGACCTCAATGACACTCTTCGGTCCAGTGCAGCCCATGGTCGTTCCGAGACCTCCATTGAGCTTCAGCACTGCAAGCTTGTTCAGAATGGAAGGATCCGCGCCATCCTTCAGCTGAGCGTATGGGGTAATCTGCTCGGGAGCGGGAGCTTGAACTTTGTTCCAGTCGCTGTCAGAATGAGCTGGCATGTCAGTATATGCGCACATCACCAAGCCATAGTCTTCCTTGCGCTCACAGCTTCTCGCCCTTTGCCCGCTCGGTAAGGTAGCGATTGAACAGTGTGAAGAAAGAGCTCATCTCCGCATCGAAAGCCTATGATGCTCGTGAGAGAAAATGTGTGAGCCAGCACCCTCCAATCAGAAGAAAGCCGGGCGAAGTCTTCCCGTGCTGCTGCTTCATTCCGATTCTCGAGAGGAGGCCAGGCCTACAGACCCAGAGCATTCATACCTGGCCGATCATAGGCGCACGCCGCTATGACTGCCCGTGGCCGCCTACTCGCGGTGGAATGCCGGCTCCAGGCCATCAGGATGCTCACCTTGCGTGCAACAGGGTCTTCAATGCCTGCAACGAGCTTGTTGACCTCATTGCGCATCGCCTTTGCAGCTACACCAGTGGTAGCCGATTTGAAGTCCTGTGAGGAGAGAAAGTTGTAGATATGCCAGCAAGTCAGTGATTGCGTCAGGGTCGCACGAACATGTGAGATTCAAGAACGTTGCTTGGCGTGAATGCACAGCACAGTGCGGCTCGCTGTGGCTTCCGCCTCACATCTACGCGGCGCTTCTCTCGACAGCGCAAGCCCGCTGCTGTCTACTTTGAGAAGTAAGCAGCGCTTTTCGACTCACGATGTGAGAGGCTCCGCGAGTGCGGGCAGCCTTGATGGGCGCACCTGTCTGAGGAGTGGACAAGGTCGACATGATGAAGGAAGCGCTGGACTGATCAAGTGTGAGGCGTGCGGACGATGCAGAGTGAGGGGATGAGACTGGACGGATCTGATGTGGAAGAGAGCAAAGGGATCTGGTTTGAGCTACGTTTTTAGAAGATGGCCAGGCCTACGTAGCAAGCACCAACTCACAACCGACTTGAATGAACTTGGCCAGTGAGAGGCGGAGGTGAGTTGGCTCTTGGGGCACGGACGGCACTCGACTCCTGTGAACGACTAGCACCAAATCTCTCCCCGTCTGCATGCATGCACGGGACCATGATGGCAGCGCTCACAGCAGTCTGTTAGTTATAGCAGCGCGTTCGATTTCAGCTACAGCGCGAGCACTCCATGCTGGCTCCTTCCTGGCTGCGCGCTGTAGCAGCAGTCAGTGAGTCGTGAGTGCACAGATCCACAGCGCACGGTGTCATCTGCAGACTCGCGCCGAACACAATTTGCCGGTGGTGTGTGCTGGGCCCAGCTGCAGAGCTGCAGGCTACGTACGTACTGTAGCTGCCGCTGCTTCTCCCCAGCGAAGCGCGCCGGACCCCTTTTCTGATCATCAGGCCTGCGAAGACCGGACTTCCACCGACATGGGGCTCGCTAAGCAAGCATATGTATACTTTTGAAATTAGAGCTCATTCGGAATACATGCGTTGGAAGCTCTGCATCGACGGTCGTGAGTCTATATTCAGAATTCATGATTCAAGATTATTATATACCTGCAGCGACGTCCCGTTCATCAGGGTGCTCGTGCATCGACTGCAGAGACTTGCTGCTTGAAGAGAGCGCACGGACTATGCATATATCAATTCGTGATTTGATACACATCCTCCCACACCGCGCACCCCACCTGTCCTACGGTCGAAGTCCTGCTGGCGAAGCTCCACGTGTATCTGCGCCTGCGCTGCTGCTACAATTTGAATAGACAAGCAGCCGTCTCGCTGCTGCTGCAGTCTTGAATGCGCAGCATGGCCGCACCTCAAACTTTCGGTCAATTCGCGTCTACTGCTGGCCAAACTCGCGATGCCCAATGAGTTGTGATTCACTATTCCAATTGTCCCGAGTCAGGCGCTGTCCACCCATGCGTACCGCACCACCTCTGCTGCCCCACCGGCAGACTGATGCTAGCGGCCCAACAGGGCAAGACCATCAGCATAGAGTGTGGAGAGGTGAAGGGAGTTAGTTAGCCTTGCCCAGGCTCAAGATGCGATTCATGTTCGTGATTCGATTATCGATAGCTTGCTGGCAAACGCTGATGAGGATTCGCGCTGCGTTCAAGGTGCGGCATCTTCCAATCCAAGTCGCCGATTCTTCGGATCGAAACGATCACGTGAGTCTCCCTCGCCCGGAATCTTGAATGGATTCATTCTTGATTTCTATTTGAAGGTTCATCATGTTCAAATTTCAAAGCAAATCACAACAATCATGGTTGGATGAACTTTTTGCTAGCAAAGGCGAGATTTGTACGAGCTGTGCCGCGAGTGGCACATCCATGATCCCATTGATTATCGACGTTTCCAAAATCATGAACGTGGCCAGGTGTGCAGCCTGCATCACTCGACATCAGTTTTGGAGAGACGGCAAGCAAGACGTGTGCTTACAGGATAACGGTACCTTTGACAGGGATCGCTTGATCCCCACCTACCCAGACGTCTATTCCAGCAGACCCACCCAGCCTGCTGCTGCTCGCATTGCTCGAAATGTACACGCGCCCATCACGGCGCCTTTTGCGACCTTGAGCAGCAACGTAGCTCGATTCGGCCAGCCCTTCGCTGATGAGCCATTGCGCCGCGCCCGCATTGAAGCTGTACAAAGACGTGTGGAACAGAGGACATGAGTCAAGTATGAGCTGTTGCGATGGTGGTGTCTCACGGCTCACCTGCCAGTTGTTGGGTCTTCAAACCACTGTTCGCCAGGGTGCGATGCCCAGACGCGCATCTCAAAGCTCGGTTTGGTGCCGGCTTCAGAAGACATAGCGGCTTCGTGGGGTGCCTCTTCGTACACCACTTTTCCAGCCTTGCCAGCTTTCGCATACACCTTGTCAGCCGCTTCTTTGTAAGGACCGATCACACCGACATTTGCAATGGGCTTGCCGTTGAAGTTGATGTTTAGCACCGCCTTCGCATCTTTGAGTATCAAACCGCACCATCCTGGTCCGTTGTCTATCCATCGTGCAAGCAACACGTCCGAAGGATTGATATCAAGGCCTGAACACTTGAATGCAAGCTCTTCACTACTCATCGGTCCTTCTCTGATGAAAGGCGGAGCGAGGAAGCTCAGTCTACCGCTCTCGGCGCTCTGATTATCCGCGCCGGACGAGGACTTGACCGAGGATCGCTTAATCTTGACGAGCCCGACATCGCACTCTTGAATGATTTCTTCTGGCGCGCTTCCAGCGCGAGGTACACCTCCGCTAGCTAGCCACGCTCGGCATGAACCCACTGCGCACAACAGGTGCGATGAGTGACTGACAGAATCAAAGCCATGCAAAGGCGGCCAGGAGATATGCTGCTCCACTCACGGGTGGGATGCCCGGCGAAAGGAAGCTGGCGTTGAGGAGTGAATATCTTGAGCTTGTAGTCCGCATTCGCTGGGTCTGTAGGCGGCAAGATGAAAGTCTGCGCATGATCGCAGCGTATGGTCAGAGCTCTTGAACTTAAAATTTGGGCAAGCACCGAACAACTGACGGTCTCGCTCAAGTTGGTCCAGCGAGCATACTGTTGCATCGTTTCCACATCCAGCCCTGATCCATCCAGCACCACTGCTACCGGATTGCCGACAGTGGCACGTGCAGTGAAGACGTCGACGACCATGTAAGGTCTCGAGCGAGCATCTGTACTTTGACCCGACATCCTCTTCTTCAGCTCTTCACAGGCGATTCTGCCTGCCTCGAAAGGAGTGCGCGAAGAGCTCGGCTTCGAATAAATGTGCGCCAGAGAAGATGGATGGAAAGTGCTGACTGAAGCAGTCAGGATGAAAGTCAATGTGGAAAGATGATCGTCAAGTCTCACCGCATGACGTCGAGCAAAAATGGCACAGCCATCCGAGTCACGATCACGATCAAGACTCGCGAGCATGCAATCCTGAATACATCAATCATTGAATCACGATCTGACCGAGTGAATTGAATCACGATCGATCGACTGATTGATCGATTTGTGAGTGAGTCATCATCACCTCTCGCACTTCGCATCGAGTCATATGTACGCCGCAGGGTTTGCATGCATGCGCGCGCATGCCAAGCCAGCAAGTTGCCGCTGCTTGGGCATTTAAATGTGCATTCAAGATTTTGATTCAAATTCCCATTCAAGTTCAGCACTCATCCACATTTTTGATTGAAGATTCGCAAGTGCGGTGTGACTCGTGACTGACTCCTCCTCGACCATCTTTCAGCAGTCAAGCGCCATGACACCTGGCCAAATGACTGTGGCGGCAACCTTCTCATTCAAGATTCACGGATTGGCAGCATCGACAAAAGTCCCAGAGACAGAGAACCCACCGTGTGACGTTGGACCGAGTTTCATCCTCGTCGTGCCATCTCATCGAGTGACACGGCTGCGAAGTATGTGCGCTAGCTATGATAGCTTCGAAGCCGCACGAGCCCTGAGAAGACCTGCAGCGGCGAGAGAGATCCAGTGGTATATGGCTTGCATGCACATGTCCGGAAAGCCGAATTGATTCGGAATGTCAAGATGCTATAAGAGTCATGAATGCATTCCAGTCGCTGCCATCACCGACGCACTTGCCTTTACCAATTTACGCAAAACGTGCGTCACAAAGGTCCATTACCTGAAGGCACTGTCACTCATTACGTTGGCAAAGCAGCCTCAAACGGGACCGTCATGATGACAAGCAGCGAGGGCGTGGCATCGCTGACCTCGCAGATGCCAGCCACTGTACTCTCAACTATTCAAGCCTTGAAGAAACGCGAGACGCTGGAAGCCGCTCTCGGCGATTACCTCCAAGAACTTGCAGCTCGCTCACCCACTGATCTGGACGCCTGCATCAAGGAAGCTCACGCCCGCCTTGAGCAGGAAGTCAAACCACTCTTGCTGGATGCAGGCGCTGGGAAGAAAGGTGCTGCGACCGTCTTGAAAGCCTGGTTGGACCATGGCCGGAGGATGGTAGAGCATGCGAGCCCGCAAGAAACGCATCAGGCCGCGGTCAGGTCGAGTGAAGCTAGCTCGAGCTCTACTGCGATCCCAAATGCTGCGAAGGAGACGCATCCGCCTCGCGCCACGCCTGCAGAGAGGAGGAAAGCGCGGGAAGAGGCGAGGCTCGCAAAGAGGGGTCTCGATGCGAATTCGATCGACCAGCCTGACAGCCAAGTCGACAATGGCAGCCAGCCTGCCGATTCTCTAGCGGCCAGAGTGGGCGCCATCTCTCTCGAAGGCGCAGCTGGCGGATCAGATGCGCCAGGAACAGATGGAGGTCCAATCATCACGGCCACCAGTCAAGAGTCGCGATTTCACACGGAATCAATAGTGACGGCATCGAAAGAGGTGCGCATGTGTATGGCCTGACGCAAGGCAGCCAAGTTTTATCACTGTCTCACGCTGCTTCTCATCCACAGATCGATTTGAAAGACGTCTGCCTGTACGTTGAGCAGCGTCAACTCCTTGTCGATGCGCATCTGCGCATCAAAGCGGGGGTCCATTACGGTCTGATTGGACTGAATGGACAAGGCAAAAGCAGTCAGTACTTCCATCACAAAGAGAGCAAGTTGCGAGCATTTGCTCATCACCGTCGATGCATCATTCATTTCAAAAACATCGACAGCTCTCTTTAGAGCACTGGCGGACAATCTCATTCCTGGGCTGCCTTCGAATGTTCGGATCTTGCTAGTCTCACAACTCGAATCTGAGAATGTTGTGCTCAAGGCGCGACAAGCGAAGATCGAAGCTGAGGACTCAGCATTGCCATCGGTGCTAGAAGTTGTCCTTCGTAGCGATGCTCACCGGCTTCAATTTGAAAGCGAATCGGAAGGTGGGTTCGGCCAGGCGCTGTGCTAGGGTGCGATGCGCTGTGCGCAGAAACTAGCCGCTTGCTTACGCTTCCTCGCAACCTTGCGATTGCAGACATCACGGCTGTGCTGGACAAGGGCGACATGGATGGCATCAAGCGGGTACTCTCTGCCATCGAATTTAGCAGGGCCTGCGCTGCTCTCGAGGAAGCGCAAAGAATTGCGATCAAGCGCAGCGGGGCGAGAGGAGCAGACGCTAGAAAGGCTCTCATCGCAGCGGAGCGCCTTCACGAGGAGCGCAAGCTCGCGAACAAAAACCACGCAAGCCTGTAGGTCAACTTATTCCACGCTTTTCATTGCTTCTTGTGCTCATCGTTACCTTCGAACACAGTGCAACATCAGCTCGTGATTGGCTGGCCGATGCAACTGTCCTTCAAGATGAGCTTCATCAAGCTTTGGAAGAGATGGAAGCATCCACAGCCCTATCTCGCGCCATGTCCATCTTGCACGGTCTTGGTTTCTCGGATAGTCAGATCTCCGGACCTTTCACTGCTCTGTCCGGAGGTTGGAGGTCCAGGGTATCTTTGGCGTCAGCTTTGCTCAAGTCTACCGACGTGCTACTGTTAGATGAACCAGTCAACTTTTTGGATCTCCCGAGTCTTCTCTGGCTAGAAGGCTTCATCGCCCAATGCAGCTCGGCTGTCATTACTGTTGCTCACGATCGAGAGGTGAGCTGCGCACACTTTTTCTCTCTCTTCTACGCTGGCCTGTGCAGTTGAGTTGATCCAGGCGAACGTTTTATTCGGTAGTTCTTGGACGCGGTTTCCGATGAGCTCATTGTGCTACGCAAGGAGAGACTGACATACTTCGATGGCAATCTCACTGAGTACGAAAGGTGAGGATCGCACCGGGCGCGACGTACTCCCATTGAGTGTGCTGATGAATGAAGACCCCGTCCGTGCAGGGAAACGAGAAGAGCTTTCAAGCTGGCTTCGAAGCAGCAAGACGTGCTTGACAAAAAGCGGCAAGTGGTGGAGAAGAGCATCTCGGAAGCTACCCGCATCGCCCGCAAGACAGGAGACGAGAAGAAGCAGAAGAGCGCAGCCATCAGGCAGCGCAAGCTTGATGAGAGGTGGGGCCTGGAAGTGAATGCGAAGGGGCACCGATTCAAGGTACGGTACATTTGTGCTCTTGCGCAATCTATAGTCGTATATGTACTCGCAGCGCTGACTTGCTCTTCCTACACCCCTTCCCATCGCTACAGCTGAATAGAGATTTTGGAGGCTATCATCTTACTGCACGCGGCGGACCAGAAATAGACACGCCAGACAAGGAGGTCATGTGGAAGTTTGAGGATCCCGAGCCCCTCAGATTCCCTGGATCGCTCGCTCATTTGGATCACGCGGATTGTGGGCATGCCAAAAGAAGCGTGCTGCGCGACGTCAATCTGACGATAGAGCCCGGCGATCGCGTGGCGTTGGTTGGACCTAACGGGCACGGCAAGGTGCGTAGGGAAAGGCTCCCGATGGGGCGCCCGGAGGGTATCCGCGCTCAGTAAAGCCTAACGATGCTTCTCATCTCAGACGACCCTTGTGAACGTAGTACTGGGCCGTCTTGCCCCTGCCACTGGCACATCTACGCATCATTCCAGGCTTCGATGGGGCCTGTACGCTCAGCACACGGTCGCGTCTCTCTCCACCGAGAGCCGCACAGCCTTGCAATACCTGCTCGACCTTGCAGCTTCTCGTGCGTCCTCGGTCTCTGGGTCTGGCGCTACTCTGAGCGAAGGTCAAGCAAGAGGTCTGTTGGGAAGGATGGGTCTGCCGGGTCGATTTGCAGATACGATGCCCGTCAATGCCTTATCGGGAGGTCAAAAAGTCAGGTGCGGCCTATTAGCTACCATGTGGGATGCTCCTGACCTTGTGGTCTTGGACGAAGTGACGAGTGAGTCAGAGCTGTGCGGGGACCCTTTGGGAGTTATGGAGGTGCATGCAAAATCTGCAATCCTCGCTGACCGCCTTCTTGGGCCCTTTTGTGCAGCTCATCTGGATAGCGATTCTATCAACGCACTGATCAAGGCCTTGAAGCGCTACACTGGTGCCATTCTGCTCGTCTCACACGACCGCATGGCCGTCAAGCGGATAGTGGAGGGTGCACCATCTCCCATTTCCTCTACCTCTGCCGATGAAGACGAAGTTTCCAGCAGCGAAGATGAAGACGGAGAAGAGCCTGGAGTGATTGGGCGAGGGTCTGCTCATCGCGGACGAGTCTATCTCGTCGAGAATGGCTCTTGCGATCTTCTCGAAGGCGGTATGGATGAGTACGTACGCAGAGTGGAGAGACGAGTTCGATGAGCCCGGAGTGTCATGCGTGTCCTTTGTATCCGTCTAGTGCTTGTAGCATTTACCCCCCACCATATATTTGCAATGATCACGACTGCTGCTGAGGGCTTGCGCGTGGTGCTGTGAAGTAATGCTAGTGATCGAGGTTGGAAGCCAACGGCATGCATGGACTTGTCAATGCTACAGAAAGGGAGGAGAGCGTAGAGCGGGCTATGCGGACAGAGTGGCGGAAGGCTCGCTCATCTCTGCTCAGAACAAGTCCTCGAGCGTCAATTGCTTGGCAATGTCCGTGTTGGCAACCATTTCCTGGAACTCTGCAAAGTCAAGCTTGCCATCTCTATGATGCGGAGAAAAGAGGCGCGGAGCATCAGCATCAGCGTCGAGGAGTAGAGGAGGGCAGGACCCACTGCCGACTCTCGACCTATTCGAGCGTCTTGAGCAGCAGGTGCTCACCCATCCTTGTCGGCTTCCATGATGGTCTTGTCTACAATTTGCTGCAATTGCTGATCTTTGAGATTATTGCCCACCATCATTTTGAGCACGAGAAATAACTCCCCATTGGAGATCAGCCCGTCCCGATCCATATCGTACACCTTGAAAGCGACTGTGGAGTGGTGCGTGCAAGACGGTCCAAAGGCATGTCAAGTGTCGTGCAAATGACGGAGCAGCCGAGCAAAGAAGGCACGAGTAACACGCCCGATAGGCGTGTTTCCTACCCGACTCACACTTGAGCTTCTCTTCTCGACTACCTTGATTACTAAATGCGCTCAGACCTGCGACGAACTCTTGGAAGTCCACTGTTCCTCCACCGCTGTGGTTCAAGAATGGCGAAATGTCAGTCAAGACTGCCTATACTGCACTCTCTGACCAAGAGTGAAGACACTGGTGGGGGGGGGGCAATGGAGCTGCGCTAGCTTCGTGCGAGATAGGATGTCGCTCCTGGACGCAAGCTTGTAAGGTCCAAGCCTTTGTGCCTGCATAGGAGAGACCTAGACAGCACGGCTTTTTGTGAAGCACTCTTAATCTCGAAAGGGACTTGCGATGTGCTACTAGCCAGCCAGCATCTCCTCAGCTCAGCGTGGCTTCAACTCCTCGCTCCGCCGCTGCAGCCCCATCATTGCACCCGCTTCTCTGACTCACTCTTCATCAAAGATGGCAATCATCCTCAGCGCCAAGGGATTGTTCGCAATGGCCGGAATCTGCAAAAACTCGTCCTTGTCAATGCTTCCACTGCCATCCCTATCCAACTTCATGAACCTCTTTTTCAACCTCTGAATTTCCGGTCCAGAGACTTGTTGAGTTCGGGACGGGGTTCAGGATGAAGGATGGTGCAATCAAGGGGAGATCAGGATGAAGGAGGCGCAGAGGAGGGCAAGGGATGTTTTAGAGCGATGTGCATGAACGAACTGAAGTGTGTTTCTGCTCCAAAAGACTCACAATTCGAGTTCTGCTCGATATCAGCCAAGAGCTGAGATCCCTTTTGTCCCATCTTGAGTCGCTACGGCTTCAAACTGTCGATTGCGCCGAGTGGAAGTGGAATGGCAAAAGATGGCAACAATACACTCTGAGGAGCAACCTCTGGAGCTGCGCAGCGTTCAGAACTTGCTTTGCAGATGATCGGCAGCAAAGTGGGCGAGAAGTGTCGAGAGTGTAAGGCGGTGCGAGAAGCAATGCAATCAGTGTGCTCTTGGCAGATTAAGCTTTGGCCGCCGTATGAGTGAGGTTCGAGAGACGACTATGCAGCAGACCAGAGTGCTGACCGTACTCGGAAGAGCGTGTCTTGCCGAAAAGAGAGAGGAGCGGAGAGAGGATGCTGGTGCGGCGAAAAGTCAGACTGGTGTACTGCAGTGCTCAGTGCTCGGTGCTCGGTGCTCAGTGCTCTGGCTTCAACGAATGTCAAAGGATCGAAGATGGGATGGTGGAGAAGCAGTGAACATGTTACGCAGTCCGTGCAGCTGTAGGTATCCATCACCCATCTTTGCTTGGGTGCTCGTTGGCGCCGTCGCGGCACTCTGCTGATGCACGCCCGAGGCGCGGAGCGGCCGGAGCCTTTGCTTTTGCTGTCTGTGCACGCGCATAAGCGCAATCCGCGCTTAGACTCGTGACACTGTGACTGCACGGCACACGACCTGGTCTGCTCGCCTTGGCCCACGCATTCACCATCAGCAGCGCGTGCGGGTGCACGCATCCTGAAACATCATCAAGTCCCTCAATCGAAATCACTCGCACACTGCAGGTCACATCTGCAAGCAGGTAGAATGGATTGAAGGCTCGACGAGGCTCGCTTAATCTCCACGATAATTAGCCATGGGGTCCTCATAATCGTTTCTGCTCTTCATCCTGTACGCCTCCAGCTGTTCCTCTGTCACATCGCCATTCGCATCCGCTCCCTTCTTCAAAGAAGCAAATCTGTCCGTCTTCCGATTGATCGCCTGAGCCTCTTTGAGCCAATCGGGCATGCCGTCATCGCTTGTCTCCTCACTTGTTTGTTTGTCGGATTTGAGCGCAGCTTTTAGCTTGTCGGAGTCCAGGCGAGAGGAAACATCTCCTTCGCCCATACCTTTGGTGCTTTGATAGCCCTTGGTATGCGACTTGTGCGCAGGGGATTGTGATCGCCTGTCCGACTTGGTCTTCGACGATCTGCGCCTTTTGGATCTCTTGCCTCCTCTATTCGAGTCGCTCTCAGAGCCAGAGCTTGACCAGTCACTGCTATCCGAGCTGGAAAACGATCTGGATCTTCTTCTTCGCTTGCCGTCGGATACTTTTTGCTCGGCTGTGATGTCCGCTTTTGCTGCATCTGAATTACCGGCAGCTTTTGGCTTGAGCAGATTGTCGCTGGCCTGAGCTGCTTCTATGCCAGCCTGTCCTGTGCAGTACGAATTACGGATGGTAGAGTGGCAGCAGTCGTATCCGTACTTGCCGCTGTCTTCGTCGAAGTAAGTACCCCATGGCTGCGTATGGTTACCGTCATAGACTGCGAAAGTTGGCAAACAACTGTCAGTCATGCGAATCGCCTGTTTCGCTCGTTGACTTCACTCTTTAGACTCCGCTAATCAGCTTAGAACTCACGTTTTCGAGGGGCATCACCGGATCCGCTCGGTGCAGCAGTGATTCTATTCTGAGGCAAGACGGGTTGTCCAGTCGAGCTGTACTCGACGTAGTCCTCCGTCTGACCTCCCAGCAGCTCCTTCGGTAGACTAGCGAAATGCTCAGCACCGCCGTACCTCTCCAGAATGCTACCTTTGATAGTGTCCCTGAGTTTCTCTCTTTTCTGTTGGTACTCCTTGTGCTGCAACTCGTTGACGGTCGGATTGGCTTGCAGATGCACGTCGTGACCTCTAGCCTCGGATTGCCAAGCGAACAATTGCAGCTCTTGCATCTTCGCAGCGTCGCCTTTACCTCGAGTAAAGTTGTCGCCAGCAAATTGCGCCTAAGGTCACGAGAAGTCAGATGGGACATCGATTCGATTAGCACTCGGAAGGCGGAGCTTCACTGTTCGCCTGCTTGAGCAAACTCACATCTTCGGGTCTGATGCTCTGATCGGGAGCTTCGCGCATAGAACGGGTCTTTGGATCGTAGTAGGCAGAGTCGACGTCGAGATTGTAAAGATATTTTGCTCTGTCCTCTCGAATTCTCAAATTGCGCATAGATTGTCTCGTATCGGTGTTGACCTTTTGACCAGGCATGTCCGCCTTCTCCGCGTACTTGTCCTCGTCGTCTTGATCCTCATCTTCCGAGCTGAAATCTCCATCCGCTTTGGGTCCCGACTTCTTCTCCTGCTTGGCCAGCTTTCTAGCTGCGCTCAAATCCGAGCTCTTCTGTTGGTCGATCTGCTCTTCTCGAAGTCTTCGCCTCTCCGCTTCGACAGCTTCGTACTCCTGCATAGCCATATTGTGCTCGGACGGGTCATAGCCATTCCACCGATCCCTCTTTGCATCGTAATCCTGCTCCTTCAAATCGTTCAGGACTTCATCCTGAGCGATGTTCTTGCCTGTCCACTTTGCCCCCTTCTTGCGTGGTCTTTCCAAGCAGTCCCTGGTCTTGTGAGACATGGCGCCACAATTCTCGCAAGCTCCTTTGCGAAATTTTGTAGCTGCCGGTCCTGCCTTTGCGCCTCGCTCATACCAATCTCCAATCTTGGCATACTCTTTTTCCGACTGAGGCTTTTTGTGGTGTTTCAAACCACCGCGACCTCCAGATGCATCCAAATACCATGGCGCTTTGGCCTGATTGCGAGAGCGGGGGGAAGAGTCAGTACCGCTTCAGACTCGACTTCAAGATCTTTGCATGCAGCTCACCATGTACGAGGGAACATGAGGATTGACGACTCGACCATCCTCGTCGATTTCGGGGGCTGCCGTTCCTGCTTTACGCGCAGCCTCGAGATCCTTTTGCCTCCTGAACTCCTCGCGAGACAGCTTGCCAGACATCGTGATGGCGCGACTTTCAGACAGCTGGTACGTGCAAAGGGCCTGCGTTTGAGTCGTGGACAACTGCTTGGAGCCGGCGAACAGACCTCTGAAAGCTGGATATGCCCGGCTGGCGCGCAGATGAGAGGGTGGATTGTGTCACGAGCGATAGTCTGAGTCGGAGCGTGATGCTTACCAGCGCGTGCAAGTGGACAATGCTGATGAGGAGGTACAGAGAGATGTGAGGACGTCGACCCTTGAAGTCAAGAGTTGAGAATCAAATGAATCATGAGAGGAGCAGGTGGCAAGGCATATTGTATGTGTTGTTGTGCTGCAGCCCAGGCGACGAACCACTGGGTCACGTGTCAGGCCTTGCAAGGCCTTCACGCCAAACGTCGATGAGGTGGAGTCTTGACTTTGAGTCCAAAGTCCAAATTTGAAGGCGGCGCCGGCGCCCGCGCCCGCGCCCGCGCCGCATTCGCCTGTTTGGCTGCGAAGAAGGTCGAATGGCAGGAGGCACGCCAATCGTACATCTCGATGCACCCCTCTGCTTTCACCGTCATTTGTGCTTCCTCCCTAGACACTCACCGACGCGCATCACCATTCTGCTAGAAAGGAGCACCGATACCGGTCATCGCCCGCTCAGATACATCGAAACGCAGCCTGGCTCAAAGCAGAGTCGCTCCCACACCCCACTGCTGCCCATCATGACGACTGTTCAGAAGATCAAAGAGATTGAGGATGAGATGGCCAAGTGAGTGGTGTGTTGATGTGCAGAACGCCACGCAAAAACCACCTCATCGCTCCTTCATCCTGTCGATCGATTCAGAACGCAAAAGAACAAGGCCACCTCTTACCATCTGGGTCAACTGCGCGCCAAGCTGGCCAAGCTGAAGAGGGAACTCATCACTCCTTCTGGAGGAGGTGGCGGCGCAGGATTGGGTTTCGATGTTGCCAGAACCGGGCTGGCCAGTGTTGGGTTTGTGGGCTTCCCAAGTGTGGGGAAGAGTACGCTGTGAGTCGTTTAGCAAAGTTTCCTACAGCGACGATGCTGAAGCTTGACATCCGTGCTGCTGCTCGCGCTGCTTGACCGGCAGCATGTCAGGCTTGACGGGCACTACATCCGAAGCGGCCGCATACGAGTTCACTACGCTGACTACGGTTCCTGGTACCATGAATGTACATGGAGCGAAGATTCAAATCTTGGACTTGCCGGGTATCATCGAGGGTGCCAAGGATGGCAAAGGCAGAGGTAGACAAGTCATCGCAGTCGCTAGAACATGCAACCTCATCTTCATCGTTCTCGACGTCTGCAAGCCTCTGGTGAGCATCACTGCTCTGTCCAAGCTGTCGAATTTCCCCCTTCGCAAATGCTCACATCTCCATTTTTGCCCTCGACAACTCTCGCAGAAAGACAAGTCGATCTTGGAGAACGAGCTGGAAGGTTTCGGGATTCGATTGAACAAGAAGCCGCCCAACATTGTGGTCAAGAAGAAGGACAAGGGTGGTATTAGCGTGACGAACACAGTGCCGCTTACTCAGATAGACAGCGACACCATTCGAGCTGTGCTCAGCGAGTACCGCATCAGCAACGCAGACGTAGCTTTCAGGGAGGATGCAAATGTAGAGCAATTCATTGAGTGAGTCCCCGCGCGATGACGCTACCGTAGTCCAGAGCATTTGCTCATTCTTTGATTGCCACGCCCCCACGTCACAGTGTCTTGGAAGGCAATCGAATCTACATTGTGAGTCCTGGGCTGATCCTGTGCTTCTCTAGCGGCACGCAAGCTGACCCGCTCGACTTGTCGCAACGCGCAGCCTTGCATCTACGTCCTGAACAAGATTGATCAAATCACAATCGAAGAGCTAGACCTCTTGTATCGCATTCCCAACTCCGTTCCCATCTCTTCGCGCATGTGGCTAAATGTGGACGACGAGCTGGTAGAGCGAATGTGGATGGAGCTGAAGTTGGTCAGAGTGTACACCAAGCCGAGAAAACAAGCGCCAGATTACTCTCAGCCAGTCGTGCTGCGTCAGGGCAAATGCACAATCGAAGACTTTGCCAATGCCATCCACAAAGAGTAAGTCATCGACGGATTGCAAACACAAGTGTTGGGAAATCGTTGCGGGCTTGGCTCACGCTCACTTGCCTGCGCAACACACAGCATCGTCTCACAATTCCGCATCGCGATGGTCTATGGCTCTAGCGCCAAGCATCCTCGAGGTCAGAGGGTGGGTCTCGAGCACGTGCTGCAGGATGAAGGTGAGTGCAGCGCTCTGCGCCCGATGTGTGCACGAACGAGGCTGACACAAGCTTCGTCATACACTCGCACTCTGATCGTGCCGCGTGCTTTCAGACGTCGTCACCTTGTTCAAGCGCTGAACATGGTCCAAAGATTCTCTTGTATCCTCCTTTGAGATCGAATGCGTCATCTTTGGTGTTGCCTCAAATGTACGCTCGTTCGACTCCACGAATGCTTGCCTTCACCATCTTGAGATTGTCACGAGAGCTGGCACGGGTGTATCGAGCTGAACTTTGACCGCTCGCAGCGCGAGTCCACGACTCATCTGACGCCGTCCGATCGCTCTAGGCGCAACCAGTGTCGCCGATCAATATTTCGATTTGCATCCCACCGCCGAACAGAGCTTCAGTCTCTGCGATGCTCATAAACAGACTCGATCGTCAATTCTAAATGCTATTGTGCTATTGCATCTCGTCACCAGATGAGTGTCAAAGTCGAAGTGTCGGCTACGCAGCATACACCAGACGATGCAGTCGACTCGGTCTCGAGTCGTGCAAAGTGAACGAACGCCCCTCCTTGGCCGCCGATCATGAGCCGGGGCAGATCAGCGTTGAGAGCCAGTCAAGACGGGGTTCGTCTTTTCGTGAATTTGCGGCTGACCCTCGGGTGACCCGGGAATGTTCTTTGACAATTTCTGCGAGTGGAAGAGTCTTGAGGATCAGGATGAAGTTGCGCGACGCGATGCATCATAGCAGCGACTGAGCCCGTAAAGCTCGTTCCGGGCGCTTATAGCAGGTCTTGATGAGGGCACGCGCTCCTCAAGCTTCGCCTGACTGAACCACTCACCAGCTTGTCAAAAGCACATTTATTCAATGGTCGTTCTGCTTTGCGGCATCTGTACAGTTCCTGCAGGTCCCCAAACGCCGGACGAGCATTCGTGAGGGTGAGTCAGTGAGCGCCTGGAGGAGATGTCGAAAGACGATGTGGCTGCACAATTGCACTCACATGGTTCTCGTTCTCCAGACATTGCCAATGAGCATCCCACTCCTTGCCGCACGCCTGTCCCATCTTGGCCAACCTGTCAAGCGCAGCAGCATGTCACATGCGATCAGCTCCTCGCAAAAGCTTACAGGATAGCGTTTGCCCAGATCGGCAGCTCGAGAGTGAGGAAGCACGCTCCACTTTGCGTGTACGGCTCGCTATTGCTGAGCGGGACTCCTTCGCAAGCCCGTGAAGCAGACGTCTCCATGGCCATTGTCCGTCGGTGTCAAGCCACGCCTGACTACTTGATGGCCATGCCATACCTCCAGCGTGCGACTACTGCCGCATGCCCCTTCCTTGCAGGCCAGGCCTTTTTTCGCAGCACTCACAAGTCCTGGGTGCACCTAGTGACTCTCCTGCCCTCCTTCAAACAATGTTTAGGATCCCTATCCTCATTCTTGCAGAGGATGAAATCCTCATTCACATTCTTGCAATGCTGACCCAGGAAGAAGGCGATGCTCTTCAGAGGTGCTGAAGTCGTTCCCACCTCTTCCACTTTTGGTTCAGAAGATGGAGCCGGCGCCGGTTCCCTATAGGGAGTGGAAAGGAAGATGGCCTCTCTGTGCGTGGCCATTGCGAAGCAGCGTCTTGATGGGCTTTGCAAGCGATGAGGAGGACGAGCTACTGTGACTGGTTGCTTGAATGGACCAATATTTCTGTGCGCTTCAAGAGGAGGTCGGCTTTAGGCTGAAGAGTGTGTGGATGAGCGCTGCCGGTAGCTATGTCAGGAAGATCTGGCCGTGCCGGTGACAGTTGAGTGGAGTAATGCCTTCTCTGTGGTAGGATGAGCGGCGCGCCCTGTGCGTACTCACATCTCATGACTGTGTGTGTGTGCGTGCAGCGTGCAGTCATGGGTCACGAGTACCGGTACGGATCTACGTGGTATGGTGAGGGCTTGAGTCACTCACACCCTGGCGCGTGCACCACCAACGCCACGTGGTATCATGCATGAGCCCGAGGTGCTCGATTGGAGTTGCAATTAAGTCACGCGGATCTCTTGGACTCCGCGCCAAGAAAGAGCGGGGGGCCGGCCGCGAGAGGCGAGGTAAGGAAAACGCAAAAAAAAAAGTAGAATCGCTGGGGGGATGCCTGATGCTGCATCATGGCTACTTGGGGGCCCGCTGTACGGCGCGATGCTGTCGTGCGACTGATGGTGTGCATTTTGGACTCGAGTGGGGCCAGACCGAGCCGGCCGATTTGCTTGCTTCTAAATGAGTCCGAGTCCGAGTGCAGATGTCGCAATCCAATCGCTTCGCCTCCTTTGCACTTTGCCCTCTTCTTCCACATCCACAAGCGAAGCATCAAATCAGCTGCAACAAGCATCAATCAAGCGAAGGGAAACGAAGCGGAAGCGACAATGGTGCGAAGACGCAGCTGTTTTGTGTGCGGCCAGCTGGGCCACTTGGCCGAGGCTTGTGGCTCCACCGAGAGACTTTGCGTGAGTTCTGTTCATTCCCCGCTCGACACGTCGCAGGGCCGGCGCGATGACGATGGCAGTATACGGGCGCTTGTCAGCCAATCCGCCTGCAAGCTTGGCAGAGATGTGATGGGGCACGTGCAAAGCAGAAGCTGCCATTGCGAGGGACGCGGTCATGCTCTCGCTTGCGCGCGGGCTAGGCGACGATCATCCAAGAGGAGATACCACCGCGTACTGCGAGAAGGCGCAGCGAGCAAGCGAAGCTCACACTCGACCCACTTGCTCACCCACACTCCTCTTTCTTGCAGTTCAACTGCTCCAAGCCCGGCCACGAATCTTCGGCCTGCCCCGAGGAGCGTACCGTGGCCACGAAGCAGTGCTACGCCTGTGGCGAGTCGGGCCACATCAAGTCTGCCTGCCCCAACCCGACGAGCGCATCCGCGGCCGTCGCGACGGCGACAGGAGCCGCGCCCGGAGTGGTCAAGTCCGAGTCTCTCGCCAAACGTGTGGGCGGAGTCAACGGTCAGAACAAGAAGGCTGCGGCAGCCTGCTACACTTGCGGTGGACCTCATTTGGCTCGCCAATGCCCTCAAGGTTTCTCTTCCAAACCAGCTGCTGCCAATGCTGATCGTCCTTGCTACAATTGTGGTGTGGCCGGTCACAGAGCTAAAGATTGCACGTCGGAAGCTACGGAGGCTGGCGCGGCTGCTGCTAGCAAGGCTCCTCCTCGTAGACAGCGTGGAGCACCGGGCACTTGCTATGGATGCGGTCAACCTGGTCACGTCAGGCGGTGAGCGTCCTCCAATCTCTTACAGCGCGTCTCTGACGAGCGACGAGCTGACATCGCTTTGTTGCATTCTGACTCTTAGCGAGTGCCCAGCACACGCTGATCCTCCCGCCGCTCCTACTAGCGCGGCCGTGATGGCTATCTAAGTGGGGATGCATGTTACAAGCACTGCCGAGGTTTCGAAAGGATCTTCCAAGTCAATCACGAAAATAGGGAGGAGGACAGCTGCATGATTCAGGGCTCAGATCGTGGTGCATGCCCACGTCTTTAAATTTTGGAAGGAGGCGGCTTGTTAGTGCAATATGATTGGTGTACGCTCTGACGAGAATGCTGGAGTTGGATGACGTGTGCCATATTTGAGGTTCACGTGCAAGATTGCCTTCGTTTCGAGCTTTCGACAAGTAGGATTCGGTTTCTGTGCGCTCAGTTCCCACGTCCAAGGCTCCTCTGAGACGGCTTTAGCACTCTGCAAGCTCCAAATGACGCTGAACCGTGATCATCTCGGTAGTAAAATGTCTGGATGACTCGCTTCACAAAGGCGCGGCAAAACACGGCAGGCGTAGCGTGAACGAGATAATATTGCATCAGAAATCGGCCTGTGCACCACAACTAAATGTAAGCCTCCGGCTAGTACTCCACCGTCGTGGAAAGTCCGGGCTCTCGGAGAACAACAGCACGTCTTGAAAATGTCGTCTTGCCATGCGAGCATACTTACTTGCCAGCTTGCACAGCCTTCTTCGCCTTCTTTGCTAGCCTCTTGGCCCGTTTGCTCAACGGATTGAAAACGTCATCAGCAGCGGTGGCAATCGGTGCAGCTCGCTTTTTGCTCTGTTCTCCAAGCGCCGCCTTTGGCACGTTCTTTCCCACCGCCTTGCTCACAGCGCCCTTGGAAGTTTGGGCAGCGCGGGACTCCACAACGCGAGCCGTCTTGGCGTTCGGCTTGCTCTGGACAACTGTGCTTCGCTTCTTGAGGATGGACCGGGGAGCCTCTTTGGCGTGCGCAAGTTGCTTCACCTCATCAGATCGCGCATCCGCGTCATCCTCATCAATGTCCACTTCCTCGTCTTGGTCCTCTGCTTCCTCATCGTCTTCGTCTGCTTCCTCGTCGTCCTCGTCGTCCTCGTCGTCGTCGTCGTCCTCGTCGTCCCACTCTTCTCCCTCCGCACTATCCTCCTCGTCCTCGCTCGCGTCACTCTCTTCTTCGTCCTCAAGCGGTGCAGCAGCGAGAGCGACCAGTCCATCAAGCATAGAGTCGCTCGCGTCGTCTTTCAACCGAAGCTCTCGCGCCCTGCCATTGAGCCCCTTTCTCCACTCCTTCAAACGCGAAGCAGTCTCTCCCAACAGCTCGACCAGCTTGATGCTTCCGGCTTCGATGGCCTTAGAAAGCACTGGGTCGGAGGTGATGGAGCGTGGAGGCGTCCTGTAGTAGGCTATAGAGCCGTCGGACCAATCTCTCAATACGTTGCGAGCTGCAGCGACCGTATCGGGTACGCTTCCCTATGGGCCAAGAGAAAATCAAGCGCATTGAGACGCATCAGACGTGTGTCAGGCTTCCAAGTCGGTCGGAGCAGCCCCGATACAGCCGAAAGATCGACTCACCTTCTTGTTACGGCCTTGAGACTTTGCAACTTCAAGCAGAAACTCATCGGCATCCCTTTGAGCCTTTTCGCTCAGCGCCTTGCTGCCACCAGGTGTATTCGTAGAGCCAGACATGAATGATCCAAATGCAGGAATGTTATACGCGAGCATGAGGTCCGTCAAGGAGTGGGTGTGCCGAAGGAGTGCATAGACTGCAGACGCGGCGTCCAAAATTTGTGCGTGTCAGCGTGCAGGTGAGGACATCCGCATCCGAAGCTCCGGTTCATGCTTACTCAAAGGCAAAGGTTCCTTAATCTTCTGTAATTGACCTACATTCCTGAGCAATATCCTTCTCGCAGCCTTCTCATCTCTGATTCTATCCAATTCCGTTTCCTCGTCCGCCTCCATGACCTGGCTCTCCTCCCTTTCCTCCTCCGCCTCCAGAGCTTCCTCTTCCGCATTTGAAAGGTTGGCCAGTTTGGAATTGGCACTGACGATGGCTGGAGTGTCGTACAAGGCAAAGCTCTGCTTTGTTGAAGACGGCAGTGCAAGATCCAGGGCTACGGCGAGGTGCTGCGCCATAGAGCTTCGGCCAGACTGCGGAAGGTCGCGGAATGGCAAGGATGGTCGTCAGCATCATCTGCGAGCCTTGTCATGAAATGGCGGCGCAGTGCTCACATTTTCCAGACCAGCAACGACAACTGCGTCTCTAAGTTCGCCCTCGTCTTCTGTGCTTTCTGTCGCAACTTGATCCAAAAGAGAAGCAACGTGTTCCGCGAGGGGTGCAATACCTGCCGGAGACTGCTTGGCTGGCGATGCGGTCGCAAAGACGGCGTAATTAGTCTGGTGAGAGAGCGCGACTTGCCAGGCAGCGGCATTCTCGATCGGGACCAGGTCTGCTTAGAGGGAATACAGTAAGCCATCGTTCCGCCTTTGGCGCACAACCATGAGTCTGGCTCCACTGACCTGTCTTGGTCAGGACGAGCACTTTGGGAACGTCTTCGAAAGCTTCCAAGGTGGGCACACGCCAAGCTGCGGGCTCTCGAGCGTCCAAAGTAATGAGGAGCGCGCGCACTCTGGGCGAAGCATCCTGAATTGTAGCTCGCTTCAGGTCCGAGAGCGTACCTCTGAACAGCAGAGGGGTGGCCACCTCCTGCTCGGCTGGCGAATCACCACTGACACCCGTCTCGGCAATAGCCTTTGCTCTCAAAATGGACTCCGCTAGCTCTGCATCTGCCAAGGATTGGGCGCCGCCGACTTTGATACGAGTGACGCCCGCTTCGGTTTCGGCCTCATCTTCGGACGATTCTTGCTCTGCCTTTCTCTTTTCTCCCCGCCTCAATGCTCGTCTGGCTTCCACAGCATCAGCTTGCTCTTGACGCTCCTGATGCAAAAGTGGCCGAGTAAGTACGCAGCTTTGCGTACCGCGATAAGGCGCCGAGGCTTCGCGCACTCACCCTATCCTTTCTCTCTTCCAGCTCTTTCAATAGTTGCTCCTTGTAGGGATAACTGTTGGGAATGCCAGGGTCCGCCTTTTTCTTGCTTCTCCACGTGGGGTCCTTCTTGGCTGCTCTGCGCGCCTTGCGATGATGTTCGCTCACCTTCTTCTTGATTTTCTCCCTTTGCTTCGTGCTCACACGTTTGGACAGACGCTTCTTTACGCGAACCATGCTGCTCTACGTCTGGATGGTAGATGCCGGTTGAGGAAAACAAAAGGCCTGCGAGGCAAAGCGATGTTTGAACAATCGAGTCGAAGATGCGCTATGCTCGGCTACCCCTTCGGCAAGGTACGGTGCGGCAGCAAGACGAAAGCAAGACGGCTAAGCAGATGGTGATAAAGCCTGTGAATGTTGATGGTCAAGCACTGGATGCCCTTGGAGGTCAAGATCGTCCATCCAACAAGCCATTCACGATTGTTGCGGTCACGATTGCTTCATCGCTGCATCGCATGCATATGCCCCTCCCGAACATTTTTTTGTGTCCGTGGTCCGTGGAGAGGGTTAGAAGAAAAAAATCCAGGGTCACGTGGAAGGTCTTTCCGGACCAGCGCGTAGCATGCGCTCGCTCCCACGCATCCATGCATGAATCCACGTCAAAGCGTCGATCACGGAGGCGGCTGGTGCACCTCGACGCAGGCCGACATCAATTGAGCTGTGCACGACCACTTCAGTGCCGAGAGATTACAAGACAGACATCATCCATTCGTCTTTCACAAGCCAATGTGAGTGTGACAATCATTACTAAATCAGGCAGCACATCTCGTCTGGTGCTTCTGTTACGTCCGCACGCACGTGCAGCATGCGCCCATGTAAACACCACGTTTGCCTGCATCCCTTCTGCTTCACGAATTCTACGCTTTTCGCTTCCTTCGTGGTAGCCTCCTCCTCTTCCTCACTCACCACGGCACCGCCGCCGCCGCATGCATGCCCGAGGGAAGAACGTGGCGTGTGGACTCTCATTCTATGCTAATTGACACTTCGGATTGGTGATACATGGATGTGGCCTCGAGTGGGCAGCTACAATGACGCTGAAAGCAAGCTGGGGAATGAAAGTCTCCTGATTTGTGTTGAAAGTGAAGGACCACGGTACATGAAATCGGCTGCTGATCGACATGTAGACCTCTTGTTGATTTGCAGACTTGGTGGAATGCGCGTCACATTGAGCCGATCGGTAGAAAGTCGTGGAACAGCGCCGACACAATCGGAAAAAAAGGCTTCTCTTGCTCGTACCGCCGATCGAGGGCTGATCTGACAAAGGGCAGCAGCATTCGCGTGTCATTCTTGCTACAGGCTTGGTGTGCGAGTCTTTTGCACGGTTGTAAGTCTTGTGCCTAAAGAGTTCGAAAAAAAAAGGTTTGGCAATTGGTGACAGCGGACTTTGCAATGAGCAGAGCATCACCGTGCGATAGGTGCTTCACTTGGGTAGATTGATTCATAGCCCACCCAGCATCGCGAATGGGCGACCACTCGGAGAATCCTCGCTCAGAGGGTGCTTTGGGCCTCACGCAGGCGGTCAAGCGGCTGTGAGAGGCAGGTATAACGTAGGATCCGGTCAGAGCTCAATCACGGATAGGCTTGCCGCCGCGTCACATCTTCTGCACATGAGGCGCTACTCACTTCCTCGTGCTCTTCGTGCAGGTAGGTATCGAAGACGGAAGCAACATCCTTGAAACACTGATCTTCAACGTCCTGAAGGGGCAGCTCTGGCACCCTTCCAAAATCCGAATGATGGCTGTCAAAGTGTTGTTCCAAGGAACCGCGCAACAGGCCCTGAGCCTTGGCAACTATCCGTCGTACATCATCAATGGCGGACATCCATGCTGGTGGCAATTTGCACTCTGAGCGTAGCTTCTGCGTGATCTACAATGGGATTTCAGTAAGAGACCATTATTTGACACTACCTCCAGTCGACTCACTTCTTCCCACACACTACGTAACGTCCAGAAGTCAGACTTTGCCCGGTTGTCAGAGAGGGTTCTCAGCAGTTCTATTCGGATTTGGGAGCCACCCCTGCAACTGATCTGCGCAGTCGAAGAGCACTCGAGGAGTCAATTCGAATCAACACAAGGCGCGGCTTGAACGTAGCCCCACCGCCTCACCGTGTACAAGTAGAGATAGATCATCGATTCCAGGTCATCGATGTATCTATGCGACTTGATGAATGCTTTCTTTCGATTGATAGCCATGTTCTGCGAGGCTTCCTCGATGTCCCTTCTTAGACGGACGATCTCGCTATTTTTGCTTGACTCGAGCGACTCGAGGGTTTTCAGGTCTGCTGTATACTTGTGGCGCGCTTTTTCCTCGAGCAGGAACAATGCAGCGTGACGTCCGCAATTTGAGGTGGAATGAGCAAGGAAAAGCTGGTTGGCTGAGCGGGTATCGTCCGCTGCCCAGCCTAACCAGTCCGCCTCCTCGCAGGTTGGCATCGGGTCTTCGCGCGCAACACCCACACGCACATTCCCATGATCCGCAAGCACGAGGCGAGCACGTTGCGAGCCTTGGCGGCGGGTCATGAGAAGATTACCAGGGTTCAGGTCCCGATAATGCAGACCAAGTTCAGCATAGGCTGCAAGCTGTCGAGCAAATTGACCAAAAATTTGGGCCAGGTCTGCTTCAGCATCCTTATAGCCGAAGGCGACACCTTGATGTTGGGCGAAAGCGAGAATGTCTAACTTCAGAGCCGGGCTCCCAGAAGCAGGCCAGGTCACCCAGTCCATAGGCAGCAAGGCGATGGGAGTTGGTGCTTCAATGTCCTGCCAGGACGCATGATTCTTCGATTTCAGGAGCTGTTCGCCCCTTTGGATCCGGAGCAGCATGTTCAGTTCGTGTCCAATGAGGCGCGGTGGGCGCCACGAGGCTTTGACGAAGAGCAACCTGCCCTCGAAAAAGAGTGCTCGATGCTCGGCTTCCGTCAATTGCGCATTTTCTAGGTCCACCGACGTCGGACAATGTAGAAAGACAGCCGTTCTAGATCCCACGAGCGAAGGTCTGACCATCGCCCTGTCGTAGATGTTGTTCTTGTTGCCTGACGCCGAAAAGAGCTGGAAAGGGCGTGATCCTTGGATTGGCCGAAGGAAGCGACTATCGTGATTCGGCCTCCACCTCTGAAGCAATTGATCGTCTTTAGTGCAGAAGAGCAAGACCATGCAAAAGTCGAGCAAATCCTCTTCTTCATGAATGCGAAGGGCGCGTGTGACAGTGTATGCATTCGCGGTGAAGCACCACAATCTGACGATGTCCTTGCACCATGTCACGATATACACCGCTTTGCTGATAGGATGGTCGCAAAGAAGCATGCGCTGGAAAGGGCGGGGCCAGCTATCAGAAATCAGGCTCAGGCCAAGCATCGAAATATGACATACCGCATAGGTCAGGACTTGCGCCATCAAATCGCGAGAGCCATCCGACGTCGCTGTGCGCTTGAGCTCTATGACTGTCGAGATCTCGCTCCACTGCTTACGGGCGGGATGCGCTGTGACACCGCTGCGGCACTCCGAGTGCTTCAGATCACATGGCCGAACATCACCCAGGGTAATGTCGGGTCTGATAGCATTCTCGGGCTTGTCGCCAAGAACGACAATCTCTGAGCTCAGATGCTAGGAGGTCAGCGGAGAGGGGCAGAATTACAGACGACAGCGGTCAGAATCCCGATTGGCGCAAATAGCCGTGACCTAACTGCGCCATCGTAGCTGCAAGCGGCGCAGACGTGACCAGCGTAACTCACCACCGACGTGCTGCTCTGAGCGACTGCATACCGTCGCGCTTGTGCAGAGCTTTGCAAGTGTGACCCTGAAGCAGCAAAGATGTACCCTAGGCAGTTCACAAAACGCTCGATCGGGCGCTCCATCTGTGACTCCAATGTAGCGGCTGTGATCGATTGCCTCAATTGAGAGAGCGCGTTGCGAAAAGCAGGATTCTTGAGGAGTTTCGTCACCCCTGCAGGAGCGCTGAGCTCCTCAAGCTTGAGGTACTTCCCATAATGCTTGTGCTGCATGTCTCGAACGAGTTGATCTGCAATGACTGCGGTCGAAGAATCTTGACTAGACTCGTATGCAGCAGGACGGTTTCTCATCGGCGTTGGAAGTTGATCGAGCCTGCCGTGACGAGCCACGCGCCTGGGTGTCGAAGGCGCGCCGGTCTGGGAAGCCGCAGAATCTGAGCCATCCACACTATTATAGGCAGCATGGGATCCGAGCGACCTGCACACCCACTCCCATATGCCAGGGGCTTCGGGGTTGCTCTTCAGTCGATCTGCGCATACCTCAGCGTCGTAGCCTGCTGTCGCTCTGGTGACTTCAACAAGGCTCAGGTCGAACAGGATGCTTTCGTTGCGAGCGCCAGTTGGAGGACGCGACCCTCCGGTGGCATCGTCGAGGGTCAGGCGATCCAGTCCTAGGACCTCTCCATCCGCCATTGCGTCGGCACAGCAGTGCAGTACGATTTTCGCAGGGATAGGAGAGACTTGATGTACGCACTTTGTTCAGCAACATCGAACACCTGTAGTGGCGGAATTCCTGAAGAGGAGGCTTTGGGGCGTTTGGCTAGCTTGGATCTGCTCATAAAGCGGCTGCAGCAAGGTCGGAGGCCGTGGACAGGCAGCTTGAAATTCAGAAGATTGAGGAAGTCAGAGTGATCGTGGTGAAGTGAGTCAATGGGTGAGTGATCATGGTGGAATGAGTCAATGGGTGGAAGTCAGAGTGATCATGGTGAGTAGTGCCAATGAGTCCACTTGTGATTGTGATTCGTAATCGTGAATCGTTGTGTTGTGATTCGTGATTGTAACTTTTTGTTTCAAGGTCACCGTTGTTCGCGCTGCTGAGCGGGCGCCACGCGCATGACTCAAGAATCACGGACTCATCAACACTCTTGACTCACACTCGTGACTCACAACTATCAAAACTCAAACTCTTGACTCAAAACTCGACCCTTGACTCACGACTCAAGACTTTCGACTGACACGTCTGATTTGTGTCACGTGATCTTTAAATAATCAAAATCAGCGACCACTTGTGCGAGCTGACGTTCGCGGAGACTTTGACTTGGTGATCCGCCATGACCACCAAGATTTTTGATTTGATTCGTATGATTCAAATTGTTCTGGTCGGTACCTAGTGAACATCGCCAACGCTGATCGCATGCAAATTGCAGAGAGAGACGGTGGCGGCAGCAAGCTGAGTCACGAGACGCAACTGCGATCACGAATTGAGGCGGCGGTTGGCGAATGATATCAAATCAGCAGGAGGTATGAGTGTGAGTCAAGAACCTGATCTGGGTCACGAATCACCAGCAGCGCAAACCCCACATCAGTAGTAGTACTAGTATGAGTGTCTAATTGAGTCGGCGGTCTGTAGAGGGGTGTACGCCGTCAATGCTCTGTGCGTGGCGTGGCGTGGCGTGGCGTGGCGTGGCGCGCGCGCTTGTCCTCCTTCATGTATATAGGTAATGAAGTGCCTGACGCTGCTGTGGCCCGCGATTGAGAGGACGGGTGAACAAAGATGAACATGGCATGGCGCAAGAGTCGTGAGTTAGCGGGCGTTGGAGCCAGCATATGATGTGGTTACTGAGTGACTGTACCGTGCGTGCTACTGTGGCGATGTACCCCGATACTCTGACTGTAGGTACCCATAGCTGAACAGCACGACAAGGCAGCAGCAGCAGCAGCATCAGCATCAGCTGCACAGGCACACGCAACTTAACGGAGCTCAGCCAGGCTGCCAGCCAGCCAGCCAGCCAGCCAGCCATTTGCTGCTGGATGCCGCCTCCAACCGCGCGCGCGAGTCAATCCCACGCAGCGGCATCAGCAACAATTTGAATTTTGAGTCGTACTGATGCAGCACCGCTGTAATAGAATCAAATGTTGAATAATCACGAATACCAACTCGTGACTACGCGATCGAGTGACGGCGAGGTGCATGTATGCGCAAGGACGCAACATAATTGATGGCCGTGGCGTGTGCCCTGGCTGCCTGCGCATGCCGGCTGCAACAGCCACGCTGCACGCTGCACGCTACACCTGCATCGTCGCTCACCTTGACAACAACGTGAATCGTGAAGGCGACGTCAGACTCGCGACTCACGACTCACGACTTACTACTTGACCATCTGCTAAGAAACAACGCTCGGCTCGTTCTCAAATCGTGACTACCAGATCACACTGTCTACGTCCATCGCAAGCGCTTCAGCATCACTTGACGACAGTCGTGCCCTCTCTTCATTCACTCACAGACTGTGAAAGCTCTGGCCGCGTCTACACTCGCGGCCAGGAAAGCACGCCAGAGCTTGGGCAGCAGCAGCAGCAGCACTACAACCAACAGCCTACATCTTCATTTCGCGCCTTGTCCACGTGTCCCATCGTCCCAATCCTTGCTGTCTATTCGTTTAGGTTCATCCTAGACACTGCGATTTTCCCAAGCTATTTGCCATCATTCGACGAGCATCGTCAGCACGGCACTCGGCTCTCTGAAGTAGGCTTCGGGCGCAACTCTGCACTCAACGTAGCCCCATCCTGCTAGCTCTCCTCTCGCTTTTCGTATTCGAGCAACATGCCTCGTGAGTTGCAGTGTCTAATCAGGATCTGCTTCACGAGCACAAGAGCACAGACCACCTGGAAGTGCTGACCCCTCTTCATTTCTACTCGGTCTCCATCTCGCTCAACTCGCGCAGCTCGCAATGCCGACGATGTGTGAGTTTGGTACACCGGCATGGGCCTTTCGAATTCGTTGCTTACATTTACCGCACGCTCATCGCAGCTCTGCGGGCGATGCATCATCCCAAGCCACGACCGTGGCTACTGGTCGCGACACACATGGGGTGCGTAAAGGAGAGCACTCTGATCTAGGCCGCATTCAGCCCTCTAGCGCATGCGTGAATTCATCCTTGGAGTTTGACAATCGGCCTCTCCCTCTGGCTCGTGCAGGTCTTGAATTGCCATCCTTCCACCTCCTCAAAGGCTCAAACTCCCAATCCCTTCACGATTGGCATCGCAGAGGATAGAAATAAGAGGTGGAGGAGAACTATGGAGGACAGTCACGCCTTTGTGTACGGCTTTGGTGGGGTGCAGGGTCAAGGCTTTTTTGGGATTTTCGATGGGCATGCTGGCAAGCACGCTGCTGATTGGTGTGGAAAGCACTTCCACGAAGTGAGTGTCAAGAGAGACACGAAATGAGATGGAGCGATGGCATTCAGACGCAAAGTACTTGTCGCTTATTGTCAAAATTACTTGCCCCCTCATACCCACAAGACTCTTTTGGATACGCTGGTTGACTACTCCGATCGGCCAGTGCCAGATCTTTTCAACTACACCTTCCACAGCGTGGACCAAAAGCTCGGAGAGCTCGCCCAATCCGAGGGAACTTCGAGCGGCTGCACAGCAGTCACCGTCTTTCTGAGGTTAGAAGATGAAGAGGGCAAACCATTGCACTATCCCGAGAGCGGAGGTGTGTTGCCCCACAGTAAGAAGGGCAGTAGTGCTGGGAGCGTTGCTGAAGGTAGCAAAAGCGGCAGTGTTAGTCCGAGCAGCGCGAACAAAAAGGAAGAGGAGAGCAAGGGTGGTCTGCTGGGCTGGGCAAGAAGAATCAGACAATCGAGCTCTGGTGCTGCTCAGGCTGCTGAACGTGATGGTGCTGCTTCGGCCAACGAAACGTCTGTGGCGGCCTCGGGCAAGTCCTCCAGCGACGTTGCGGGCTCTGACGCTAAGCAGGACGGATTGAAGGCGGAATCGCAACCTAGACGAGTTCTGTATACCGCAAATGTAGGAGATGCAAGAGCAGTGTTATGGTGAGTGCGCAGAGCACGCATCTGTGGTGGTCTGCCACCTACAGTCAGGTTGCGTTCCATCGGTATAACGAGGCGCTGAACTTCGCATGCTCCGCTGGAACCATCTCCTTCAGTCGTTCCGGAAAGGCACTGCGCTTGACCTACGATCACAAAGGCTCTGATGCGCAGGAGGCCAAGCGAATCACCGATGCGGGTGGTTTCGTAATGAATAACCGAGTCAATGGTAAGGCCAACGCTTCAGGTCACCTTTTGAGCACTCAGCTTACCCTCGATTTGGTTCACGCAGGTGTGTTGGCTGTGACGCGGTCGCTCGGCGATCAAGCCATGAAAGAATTCGTGGTCGGTTCGCCGTACACGACCGAAACCTGCCTGAGTGACGAGGACAAGTTTTTGATTGTAGCTTGCGATGGAGTGAGTGGTTTAGTGTGCATTTCCCTTACTCAACGCAGTCCTGCGTTGCTCACACAACAACCCTCGCTTCAGCTCTGGGATGTCATCGACGATCAAGATGCGGTGGATTTGGTAGCTGACATTCAAGATCCTCAAGAAGCCGCGGAGAAGCTCTTGGCTCACGCGCTTGGAAGCTTTTCTACAGACAACACGAGCGTAATGGTGGTCCGATTCGCTTCCGGCTCGGCATCTCTGCCCTCAGCTTGTGCCGCCGCTGTGGCTGCTGATCAGTCCGTATCTGGCAGCACCTCCGGGCCGACTTTGCAGGGAGAGTACGCACGCACAGATTCGGTTCCAGTCGCTGATGGTGTCGGTACAGCTGCACACGACACCCAGGACGCTGCAAAGATCAGTTCAGGGCCGAATTCGGGCGTCGAGCCAGGTTCGAGCGTCGATTCTGCTGCTAGTGCGGCCGCTGCGCCTGCGGCATGATCCAGGTTCTGGTGGCTACTTGACGAGCTCCGCAATACAATGTTCCCATGCGCATACGCGTCTATATGCTTCAGGACCCCACAAAATGGACAATTGCGAGTGTGAACCTCGCTCTGTGTTGTTGGCTCGTTGGCCGCAAAGAGTCCGTAGAGTTCAATGGACGAGTGATGGTGCACCGCCGACTCGGTACGTTGACCTGGCACGGACTGCTGGTGGCAATGCGATTCGTGGCCCACACGGGTGTGCCTCTCTCAAACGTCCCCAAAGTCACGCGAGAGCGATCGAATCAAACCGCAACAGTGCGTTCCTGCACATCCTCATCGTCATTTTGCAAAGAGCGTGCATGCGGATTGAAGCTGATGAAAGTGCGTGATGAAATCGTCTTGTTAAGAAGCTCAATCTGGGAAATACATGGACACCACACGGAGCCGCACACTGTGATAGGTGGAAGGGTTGCTTAGTGACTTGTGACAGACCTGATGAGGGAGAGGAGGCGGGGAAGGGCGGGAGGACGGGAGTCTCGTACGCGTGTCGCTGCAGGAGGTGGATGGTTCGGGTGGGGGTCTTCAAAAGCTTTCGAAATGCACAGCCTTGACCTTCTGAGTCGAGTTTGGATCATGGAGGCCGCGAGCTCATAGCGCGCAGACGGTCGATGGCTTGTTGCAGCTCCGCGGAGCGCTGTGGCTGACCGTTTCGTGCCCTGCTTGAGGCGCTCGACTCAGTAGGTTCGTTCGCAGATCTCATCTCGATCGGTGGTGTCTCCAGCGCAGCAAGGTGCTGCTGCTGTCGCGGAGTCCTGTTGGTTCCATACTCAGCTGTCGAATGGCCCGGTGAAGGCTGTGCAGCGTCCACACGCGGGTTCCACGGCGACCACTCCGTCTGCGTCGAACTGCTAGCGCCCGCGGCAGGCTGCCCAGCAGTCGGAGCTTGGCCTCTCTCCTGATTGTAAACGTGGTCCGAGAAGTAGAAGCTTCCGGGGACCGATGAGGTGTGCGCATGGTTAGCATAGCTAGGCGTAGGGTTGCGATAGTCGAAATGATGCCTTTCTGCACGCGTCGCAGCAGTATCTGCATTCACGGGATCGCGAGCTGGTCGCCCCAAGCGTGCACCCCATTCTTGTGCTACCGCCCTTGGTAAAGGCGGTCCGAGCTCAAAGCGCGAGCCCTGCGACGAAGCTCCTTGTTCGTGCAAAGAGCCCTGTGGCCACGGCGCGCGGAAATTCGCTGCATGGTCCACAGCAAACCCTGCTGCTTCGTAAGAGCGTAATAGGGGGTGTTGAGCAGCCGACAGGCTCGCGAGTGCCCTCTGCACTTCAGGGGTGAGTTCGCCAAAATCATGTCTCTCTGGCTTTTCAAGATAGACGCCAGAAAGGTACCGGCGCAGCTCGTTGACTCCGCGCCCGCTATAGACGCAAAATGCGCTGCGTTGGTGGTCATTGAAATCCTGTGGGAGGGTCGAACAGCTGTATTAGGGAGCTGTCATCGGGACGTATCATGCGTGCCGAGTTTGCTATGCTCACCTTCGGCGGTGACCTGCAATAAGCTTGCAACTCGGGCTTCCGGAAGGCAGGAACTCCTGTCAGGCTGAGATGCGTCAGGCCGCCAAGCCTCTGGAGAAGGTAGAAGATCGCAGGTACACTGATATTCTCGCAGTAGCTGAGGTGCACCCTCTCGAGGCTGGTGTACCTGTCAACAAGCTGGTAGATAGCCTGATCTGTAAGGTTCGTAACCTACCGAGACAGGAATGAAGAAAATCCAGCACCATCAGCTCCCAGTCGGCTTCAGAAACCCTACTTCACACGTACCCTAACGAGACCGATGCGGCGCAGCTTTGGAAGACTGCTGGCCATCTCGATGATGGACTCATCAGTGAGCTGCGGGCAACAAGCAAGATCGATGTAGCGCAAGCGTGTACATGTCTTTGCGAGATGAATCACCGCTCGGTCCGTAATGCTGTAGGAGGTAGTCATTCCAGATGTCAGCGCATAGCCGGGCGCACGACTCAGTGAGCGACCACGCGGACGCGGCCCCCAGACTCACTTGCTGACATGGCCCAGGTGCAGAAGATGAAGGTTACGGCCAAGTTGCGAAATGCTATAGATGCAAGCATCCGTCAAACGCGTGCATTTTGCAAGTATCAGATTGCGGATCCTTGGCGCATGCGTGATGATGCCCTCCACTGCGGCGTCAGAGATGGCGTTGCAATTGGTCAGGTCGAGAATTCGAAGCTGTTCGAAGATCCTGGGAGGAGCCAAAGACGTGAGTGGGGCTTGATGGTCAGGCATGGTCGCTGTTCGCGGCAGACCGATGGAGTCATGACCATTTGGCGGCGCAGTGCTTCCATCGCTGCCATTCTGGCCGGTGCTACGAGTTCCTGTTGGAGAAGCGCCTCGAGAAGCCGGTGCCGACTCAATGCCACCCACGCCGTGACTCCGATGGTGTCGCGCAGCTGCAGCTTGAGCTTTGCTGAGGTGTGACGCAGGCGCTGGGAAAGCAAGGTCCGTCAAGTTGATGCACTGAGCCATGCGAAGCTCGCGCAGGTGGAAGGCTCGACTCCAAATCTGACGGGCAGATAGGTCGCTGAGCTTGGAGCATCCCACCAAGTCCACCTCTAGCAACACACTGCAATTCTGCGCTAGAGCGATCAGCGCCTCATCGCCGACGCCTACGCATTCGCACAGTTTGACTCTTCGGAGGAGCGGCGCAGCTCTCGCGAGATTTGCGACAGCTTCAGATGACAATTGCTGGCAGCCGCTCAGATTGATGCCTTGCAGGCGCGGGCAAGTAGCCGCGAGGATTTTGAGAGCCCCATCTTCGAGCCCAGTGACTCCCGTCAGATCGATGGCGACTATGTTCTTCGTCTGTGTCAACACCTCCTCGAGGACCTTGTTGGACAAGTGCTTGCAATCGCTAAGCGTAAGGCGTTCCACTCGTGTGCAAGCCGCTATGCTCCGAAAGGTGTCGTCTGTCAGATGCCCCGCAATGGCGACGAAGTTGATGCGGCGCACAAACGAGGCATACTCGAAGGTAGCAGTTGGGGAGGCCAGAACCTTTGCAAACTTCTGGAAGCCTTCGAGATTCTTAAAGGCAGGCCGATGCCACAAGAGCTCCACGCCGCATAGCGTCCAAGTCTTGCAGACGGCCAGACAACTGCGGAGGTCCGTTGGTCGAGCAGCTACGAAGCGAAAGACGTGAAGGAGAATCTCGTGCGGCAAGAACGAGGCGGTGGGAGCGGGTTGAGCGGGTGCTGCTGCCGGAGGCGCTACGAGCCAAGAGTCCTGAGAGACAGTCGGACTTTGTGGCGCCAAAGAGCGAGGTCTCGGTAGCTCTGACTGTGCAAGGTTGGGCGTCCTGGCTGGTACGATGGACATGTCAGAATCGTCGTCTTCCATCTCCATAGATGTGCTCGCCATTGAATTGTCTGGCCCTGTGCTGCCCATTCTGCCACCTGCGTCTCCTCGAGCTTGCATTGCGTGAGGCGCAGTGAGCGCAAATGGGGCGCCAGCCGACCCACGTATCGTGTTGCGCCTGGATGTGGCCGCTGCCGCGGCTGCTGCTGCTGCGAAACGAGATGCAATGCCGGCATATCCATCGTCATCATCATCGTCATCCAACTCGCCCTCGTCGTCGTCATCGTCAGCGCTTTGTGATGTGGTAGAGGGAGAGGCAGGTGGCCTCGACCGAAGTTGGCTGATCCCGCTCCCTGAGCTCTCACCTGCCTGATGGCCGATATTCTGCATAGTGCTGGGTACAATACTGCTGCTGCTGCTGCTACTAGCACGGCTAATTCTGCTGCTGCCTCCTGTGGCCGTGTCGGTCACCATGCGATGGGTGTCGGGCGCTGGAGAGATGCTTGGCGACGGATTGATAGAGTCATTGGGAGTTGAGTGCGCAGTGGAGCGCGATGATCCGGGGCCGTGCATCGCGTCGAAAGATTGACCGCGAAGTACGTGGGCTTTGTCGGACTTCAACTTGAATGTGGTCCGTACATGCACCACGCGAAATGAGAGTGATTGGTCGCGGCGATGCTGAACAAAACCAGATGCGTGGGAGGCCCAGAAGCGCTGAGAGTCCGACCTTGCCGTCTCGCGTGATAGCAAGGCAGCTTGCCACGCCTTTCTGCTCGAAATGATGTTGTAGACACTTAGAATGCGTATACGATGCCAAGTCGTTGCGTTGCTCACGTCTCGCGGCTTTGATCATGCGACCTGACCGTGTCCAGCTCCAATCTTGGATTGATACCGAGCCGGCTTTGTCTGCGCTGCACAACACTTACGAGTCACGAGTGCGGGCGCCGTGCTCACCGCCGCATCCATGCATAGCGCGTTGGCCCTTGCTCAATCCGTTGGCGCGTCAGCGCGTTCTGCGTGGCGCTTTGCGGCTCAACCAACACGTGGCGGCTGCCCTCATCCGCACCTGCAATCACCTCATCCCACAGGTGCACATTTGATTCGGCGCCGACGCTGGCTGATAGATGCAATTTGACGCATGGAAATGTTGTCCTGAAGAGCTCAATCATCATCATATTGAGTCGATATCTCTTTTACATACATGAGTGCGCGTGACCTATACGCTGTAAAGTACATTCTTACATGTGGTGCCAACAGGGAGAGATGCGACCAGAGGTGACGAGGATGACCCGTGTCAAAGGACGGAGAAGAAGAGAAGGAACAGAGGCGTAGAGGACGACGGCGACGTACGCAAGTCGTGGCGGCAATTTAGCCTCAAATCTATTTGAGACCGGTTCGGAGGGGCGGTAATCGAAGGGCCTCTGTGGTGCTTGAAGCTGCGCCAAGCGACCCCACGGAATGTGGAGCCTCCATGGACGCTCCTGGTGTCAGACCGGAGGTCGACCGGTCACTGGAGCAAGGCATCTGCGCCAAGCTAGGCAGTGGACCCTCGAGGTGCATCATTCTGCGCTGATCGCTGTGTTTCCTCGCCGAGTCGTTTAGACCAGGAAGCGACGCTGGCATCGTCGGCGAGGACGACAGGCGACTCGAGCGAGACAGACTTGGAAGCATGGGCGCAGCAGCTGCGTTGACAAGCGCGCCCTGATTGGGGATGCTCTTGAGTAACAACGGCGTCGTGGAAGCTGTCGGAATGAAGGCCCGATCTCGGCTGCGATCGTACGCCTGCGATGCATTAGCATCCAAACTGGTGTTGGAAGAGATCGAAGACTGTTTACGATGATGATGACCAAATTGCGTATTGGTCGGGCTATCAGAGGTAGCCTCGCGAGATCGCGAGGAAGGCAAGAGGTTCAAGCTCGATTCTCTCCAATGAGAGCCTGCGACAGCGTCGGTAGACCTTTGACCCATACGTACCGCTTCGCCCTCACTGGACCACGGGGTCTTAACGGGCGAAAGTGCGCTTCGCGAAGACGCTGCAGAAGCATATGCGACAGGGGTAGGCGGCGCACCGTACGGATGGTGAGCTGCAGGAAGGGCGGGACCGGGAGAATGGGTCCAATTTGCACCAGTTTTGCCGTCCGGGTGGCGATGGTGCGAGACAGCCGGGTAGAACGCTGGGCTAGAGGAAGTCGACGGTGCGAAGAGGTTTCCAGCTACTGGTGGAAGATGAGGCAGCTGCGGCATCGATAGACGATGAGGTTGTCTGGTCGCGTGCCCAGAGTTCAGATAGTATTCGGCAGGCGGGCTGTAAGCGCTTCCATTGAGCAGAGCGGAGCCGCTGCGGCTTTGCTGCATTGCGTGCCCTGCGGGAGGCAGCTCGGAGGGCTCGCCTTGGTCAACGTCCATCATGGTCAGGCTACTGTCCTGATCAGACCGCACTGAGTCTCGACGGGTTCGCGGCATGCCGACAGTCCTCTGCACAGCTTCCTCGCGCCGGCCGTCACGTCCAACGTATTCTTGCACGATGGCAATGGCAGTCCCCTCTTGAAGGGCCTTTCGACCAAGCTGAACACTTGCTTCCGTTTCGGGATCCAAGTCCAGAGCCCTGAGATCGCTATCACCTGCGTCGCCCTCGATGCTGCTAGCGACAGCAGCAGCGCTTCGACCTTTAGGGTGAAGAACATGCGTTCTGTAGTGCTGTAAGCTGTTGTCCTGCCTCGAAAAGCTAGCGTTACAGCCAGGGAACGTGCACCTGTATGGCTTGCGACCAGAGTGGATGCGGTGATGCCGAGCGGCGTGACCGCTAGTAGAGAATGTCTTGTCGCATTCCGGAAATGCGCAGGGATATCTCTTCTTGCCGCCAATTGTCACTGACGAGGAGGACAGCACCTTGGGCGCCCCGCTGCGAGTCCCGCTGGACTCCGACGGTGCAGTTCGATGAGACGTGGCGCCTGGACCAGCAGGGGTTCGGTCGACGGTGGTCGATGAGAGGCCACTTCTTCTACCGACAGCCGTGGCTGCTTGGTGCGGTGAGTCCGGGTGAAAGCTCTTCCCATCGTGACTGCGCAATGAGACCGAGCGTGACGCTTCTCGCATAGCCCCCAACGTGTTCGCAGATTCGTCACTTGGAACTTCGTCCACCCCAAATGCGCTGCCTGGAGCACCGCGACCGTTGTGCGTACCGTGCGTGGGGCGCTGCGGCCGTGCACTGTTCCGTGACATTGGCACTGGAGAGCTCACGAAACCTGGCTCCTGTAGCACCTTGCGCCCTCTCAAATCACCCGAAGGCTCCCGCGATTGGCTGGAGTCATCAGATTTTTCCTCTGCGCTGTTCAAGCTTCCGTTCTGTAGAAGCGAGGAGCTTGTGCTATTGGGCGGACTGATGTCGCCTGCCGCCTTCGGAGGAAGTGAAGCGTGTGTGCTCGGCCGCTTAGGTCCTCGTCTATCCTGGTTGTGTACGCCTAGCGACGTGACGGATGTAGAATGGGAGCGACTGGTCCCCACGTCGGAAGCGTCGCCGGCGAGGCGGGTCTTGAAGAACGAAGATGATGAGTCTTCGCTGGGGCTGAGTGAGGACGAGCTCGATCTGACTCCGGAATGAGGACCGCCAGCGCGCAGACGATCCCCATCCTGAGGTCGCATCGCTGCATCCGCCAAGTCTACCAGGCCGGTGGCAGCAGCAGTGGTCCGTCTCCAAGCCAAGGTAGCCTCTCGAGCAGCCTTCGGACCTCGCGTCGCCGAGCTTGGTCCAGAAGCATCAGACCCGCCTTTGGTGACATCAACGGCTTGCCCAGCCTCGAAGCGACCCCGTTGCAGTCCCTTCGACTCTCTTGGCGCTGCTCCGTCATTGAGGATTGAATCGCTGCGTCCTGGCAGCGAAAAGGACGCCATGGTGGTAAGTGTGCCAACGAGGGCGGGCCCCCGCTGAACGCGCGGAGTGATCGTAGGAGTCGTACTCGTGACGACCCGCGTTCAGTGTGAGTAAGCAAGGATGTTGGCGACGCGCAGCGCCCAAGGTTGCTGATGGTGATCCTGTTCAGTGTATCAGAGGTGCTGTCAGCACCTAGAAAGCGCGGTGACCGTGGTGAGCACCGGCTTGCGGTAGCGTTTGGGAAGTGCAACAATCGTAAGACTTGCTGAAGCCTAGAACTTCGCTGTTCGAGTGCTTCTGCAGGGTTTTCGATCGATGCTAAAGAAAAGCTGCGAGGGCATGCACGACAACTCTATCGTCTTACGGGCGCGCCGCGCGATCTTCGAGGCGGTGCACTGGACCCTTCGCGATGTACTGTGTCAAGCGTGGACTGAATTTCCCTTGTGCAGCGTTCTTGATCGTCGACGGGTTTGGTGTTGTGCTCGAAGTGAATTTGGCGAGTAGCGCTCTCGTGGTGAGTGAGGCAAGGCTTCAGACAGTGGACGAGCAGGTGCCGCAAGACCCAAGGCGAATGCTGGAGGTTGACAGCTTGAAACAGGAGAGCACCAATTCGGAAGCTCGCGTTCTGCTGTGTCCTTGCTGCTGCGCTATAGACGGGGTCCGCAAAGCGCCGATATTCGATTTGAATTTGAATGTATGGTCTTTAGATGAAAAGGCGGGGCTGTAAAAACAAGGGCGCAGAAATGTGCTACTTTAGAGACCTACTGAAATCTAGACAGCAAGATTTCAGCCTCAAGACGCGGAGTCTGGACCTTTGTGCGGAGCAATCAAGCCGGCCCCGCGCTACGCCCGTCTGGACGCGACCTGTACCCTGCGCTGCGGTTGAGACGCAGGTGAAACTGAGATGCAGCGGGAGCCCACTCCGGCGCCTGGCCTGTGAGTGGATGAGCCCGCCCGCGCGGCGCGAGGATGCACCTGCTGCAGGGTTCTGCACGCAGCAAACACGCTATAGAGGCGTGGGCGATCGATGCTGATGCTGAGCTGTCAAGGCGGCGTGCCGATTCGGCCGCACCAGATTTGACTCGACACTCTAGAAGCCTGATAGACGGGACAGTGCCAGAACGAAGGCCGCCTCTGGGTGTCAACAACAGAAGGACTGGATAGAGGCACGAGGGGGCTTGCTGATCAGGTGGTGATCCTTGCGGGCGAGAAATCGGTTGGCTGCTGGTTAGCATTTGCGTGCAAGCAGAATTCATCGCGCCACGATCCAGAATGGTTATCCATCTGTAAGGAGCTGCCAACGTCTAGACTCACACGAGTCTGCGTAGCTCCGCACCCAGAACGTTCGATGTCCTGGCGGCTAGAGCTTGAAGTCGAAAGCTACCCTTGCCACGATCGATCACACCGCCTTCTTTTTCCAATGCGCAGTAGTGCTGCAGAGTCGCGCGGTCTTGCTGGTCGATTGTCAATTGTGAATGTAGAAGGTTACAAGGACGAGACGGACATGCGCTTGCGTCGTGTATACACAGCTCGTGTTGTGAGTCTCGTACCTGGACTGGTAGCGATGTGTGACGAATTGGATTTGGGGATGGTGTGTGGAAGGAGGACTTATTGGAACTAGGCTTCGCTGAATGTTGAGCCAGACTAGGAGAGCACAGGACCCTCGGGCCTCATGAACATCGATCGAAGCCCGACAGCTTGCACCCTTACGATGGCCCCGGACCGGCTTGAAATGCGTGAGAATCGAGAATCGACGGCAAGTGGGCGAGCGCTCGAGAAGACGTGACTCGTACCTGTTGGTCGTCAGGCAGCAGCATCGATCGAGAGCTGATGTCAAAGTGATTGTCGCACCTTTGCTGCTCATGTGCCTCTGATCTGAACACTCCGCGGCTCGAGTCGATGACTGCATGGTATAGGGAGCGGGCTCGCTCGCAGACTGGCGACTAGGTACAAAAGTGGTGACGGGCCACAGGTGTCAGATGTGCACGCCGCAAGCCCTGTTGATCGCGGCCAAGAGGCGACGCTGATCGGGGCAGACTTGAGGCGTGATTTCCAAGGAACCACAAGCGCACTTTTTGACTCCCACGACGACAGGATTCAGGAGGACACACAGACGCTGATCAGAAATTCGGTACAAGACAAGGCCATCCGTCAATTATCAATCAGTCTGATTGTCCGCCGCTGGAGTACCCGCAACGTCAATAATTTGATTCCTCTGGGGTCGCCGACGTCGAATGGCGAATCACGAGTCTGAATCTTGAATGTGCGATGCGTGCAGACTCGACAGGAATTGAGTATTACGACTCTGCGCCGTAAGACTCTCGCTCCGGCTCCGGTGCAAGCCTTGCTAGAAGAATCGTGAATTATCAGGCGAGTTGTGAATCGGAATTCTATCAGTGACTAGCAGTCACGGTGTCGTCATTCCCCTGCAGCCAGCGGCACAGGCGAGATACCCGTCACACTCACAGCACCTCGAGACTTGTAAAAAGAAAGGACTGGAGGACCGCGTCACTCATGTGTGACTTTGACTCATGGCGTATGGGTACGCGACCGGAGAATCGAATGATTCAATCTTGAATTCAAAACTGAATTAGAGGAGGGGCGCGAGCTGCAGAGCTGCCGTACCTAGCCTTTGCATGCTTGCTCGATGACGAGGCAACGCAGCGAGCGCCGCGTGATCGTCGCGTCAACGACCTTGGAGATCGAGCAACAGAAAGGTCGCCGCCCCGTGTCTCATCTGCTTGCTCGTCATGGCCGCCTGGCCGCAGCTCATGCATCCATCCGTCCGCCATCGCGCTGCGCTTATAGCTCTTCAATCCTGATGCGGGCCGTCATTAAGCGCGCGCGTCATGCCGCTCGAGTCAGGCACGGGCTCTTGACTAACATTTTCGTGTGGACAATCCGCTAATGCCGTCCTGTTTCGGGATCGTAGCGTCCACTACAGAACATACCTATGCGAATCTCGGTCGAAGCACGATCGAGATCTCTTCCATGGACTCACAGCTGGCTCAAAGAAGGAGAGAAAAGCACAACAAAAAACCGTAGAACATATCAAGCGGTGAGTCATTCACGAGGCGAACAGACGTTGTATTCACGCGATTGCGGAGGGGCCTCTTTGTTTCACTGGTCACGTATTCACATTGTTCAAAAAAATTCGTAGGTAGTCAAAGAAAGTGTTGGCGGCTGTGCTGCGGATCGACGCGGCTTTTCTGTTTCTACCTTCTTGATTCACATTCACGATTTGTGATTCATGATCCAGATTCGGGGGCCACTTTGCCATCTGCCAAGCGACATCTGGAAGTCCGAGTCGACACTCGCCATTCGTGACTTCCCTTTGCGGTGCCCTTCTGTAGCAGCTGTGCCAATCTTGAATGCGACATCCCTACATGGCGCGCTAGCTTGCCCCTGACCGACAGTTACAATCACGAATGTGAGTCCATGAGTGTGGATCCAGAAAGTGAATCAAGAATCCATCGTGTGGAACAGCTATCAAGACTTAACCGGCGCGTGATGGCTTGGCGCGCGCGATCTTGGTGCAAATGCTCGCAGCGATCGGCGGAGAATGGCAGATCCGAAAAGGTGCATCGCAAGGCTGTGGGGTTGGCGCGTACACAAATAAGCTAGATTGATCGAGAACACGAGCGCCGCCGCGCATCGAGCGACTTGATTCACAAGTGATGGTGAGTCGTGACTACAGTACCTACGCCGCGCGCGGCACGTCCAGCTCCGCACGTTCAGGCACATTATTGGCTTACCAATGAAACCCTGGCTGTCCATTCAAGATTCTCATCGAGACTTATGGATCTTCTGAATCACAATTGATGAGGGTGATGTTGATGACATGCAGCAGCAACGATGAGCCGGACCGCGATTCGGTCCGTGACGATTCTCATTGTGGTTCTTGGTATGGATCAAACTCCAACGATCTTTCTGCGAGATGGGGTGCGGTCGCAGCTAGCCCGCACTACCTTCTCGCGTGTCTGCCAGCTCCGACTTCGGATCGTTTCTAGGCACTCGCAGCGGTCGTTCTGGCGCTGCACTCTTATATGAAGGGGTGAGCAGCCGATGGCACCTTCGGTGATATGAGGGTCGTTTCAAAGTTGCAGGTCGAACCCCTTCATGCGCTGAGACAATCCGGGGTGGCGCCTCGGCCTCGATCCCACAGAATATGAGCCACATAGGCGCCAGCTGCAAAGGACATCGATGTGCAGGTACAGCACATCAAGCAGTACTAATTTGAGTGACAGATTGGTGACATTTCGTGCATCTTTACAACAGGCACTGAAGCTAATTCACGATTCGGTGATTGTAGGCGCGGGATCATGCGAAGAGCTATTTCCAGCGATACAGCTGACTGAGAGAAGACGGTGGCGGTCCCGCTAAAGGGCGACTCATCAAAAGGACGAGAGGGTTTGTCCAGCCTTCGCCAGAGCAAGTGCCTGTGCCAGACTGCAGACTTTCGGCTAGATGGTCGTCTTTCGGCTAGTTGCAACTACCTTGAGCTCGCCCGACTTGGCATCGATGCTCTTGCTGAAACCGTAAGCACTGCCAGCACCAAGCGACTCTGGATCGTGGCACTCTACAGTGAGCGATCTGATCTGAGTGGTAAAAGTTCCGTGCGAGTCTGCCTTGGAGTAGTCGGCCCTACCACCGGCCCACTCCACGGTGCCCTTGGCCATGTCACTAGCGTCCCAGACCGACACTTGAGCTCGCATCGGTGTGGCGGGATACTTGTAGTAGCCATCTTTCTTGCTCTTGAAGGAGGATCGCTTCAGTGTACGAACTTCGACGCCATCGATAGAGTAGATGATACGCGTGGGCGACCAGTCCAAAGTGTATGCATGCCAGTCGGCTGTGTCAAATTCTGGTCCTTGAGTGATCGTTGCGCTGTTGCTGTCACCTCCACTAAAAGCCTGCTCAGTATCGAAGTGCTGACAAATCAGCGTTTGCACCTGGGCTTGCGGTCTCGTCGGATTGGACTTACCTTGCCTTGGGCGAACATGTTGAGCTGCACTTGACGAGACTGACCACCGGTAATCTCAAAGTCGATCTCATCCGCTGTTGGACTCATGAGGATGAAGGCGCCGACAATGCCTTTGTTATTGGCATGTCTCAAGGTAGCAGTGACTCTTCCATACTGGATGTACTCGGTGGTGCTGAGAGTTGTACCTGCTTTGGCCTTGCCCTTCTGTGCCACCGTAGCGTAAAGACCGCTCTTGCTGGTCCGCACGGCCCCGCTGTCGATGGTCAAAGGGGCTCTGCTCGAGTCGCCGTTGTAGGAAGCGAGCTCGACGGTAGGGTTGGCTTTATTGGTGAACGAGATGGAGAGTGGCTTGCATCGAGGCAAGGCCCTGCACGAGGAAGGAGAGAAGGATGACCTCGGATCGCATCCCGCCAGGCAGAATTCTGCGGTAGTGCCGCAGTAACCAGAAGATGAGCAGCATGGAGTTGAAGATGGGCACTTGGAACTTGCGTCGCAAGAGCCATCAGAGTGCGCGGCCTCGGTACCGCCGAGCAGCGCGAGCAGCGTCACAGCAACGAAGCAAGAGAAAGCTGCACTTCGAGCAAGCATGATGAAGACAAACGAAGCCGGAGCAGTCGTGTCGGACTATTTTCCTAGTATGGTATCCGAGGTGGGCGGAAGCTGGTATGGAAAGGAGAGTGTAGAGGAAGCAAACGGCAATCGAAGAACGGGTCAGAAGAAGCGAAGCTGAAAGGGAATGTGGGAAGATGAAGGGTGAAGCTGTATCTGCAAAGGGAGGGATGAGGGTCTACGGAGAGGAAAGGGAGGGGTTGGAGAGGATGATGGTTGAAGGTTCAGGTCCCAATTCCTATCGTGAAGTCAGGCAACATCAATCGCAGGATCACGCCGAGCTCTGACCCATGTGAACTGCCCACAGCCGCAAATTCACGAGTGTAGCACGGGCAGCAGACGGTATGCATGTTCAATCGTGGTTGTGGCTTGCCGTTGGTTTACACGAAGCCGCTCACCGTCTGGTCGCTTGATAGGGGCGACATGGCGCTGCACATTTCGTGCACCGGACTCCATCACTTGCGCAGCTGCACAGCACGAAGGGTGGAGCGCAGAACAGCGCTCACTACTGCTACTACTATATCGGCCCTTCCGGTGAGACTCGGTGCTCCATCCGGGGTCGAGGAAGGAAATCGTTTCGCCAAAAGTGTCCTTTCAGGCACGACGACAAGCTTGCAATTCTCCGCCTGACGGCCTGTACGCGCGACCGGTCACCGCGAACTTCCGCCTGTGCATCACACAACAGGTGTGCATTACAGTCCCTGCAGATAGCCTGTCGAGTGCGCTTGCAGAGCGTTGGCAGACTGAACCGTTGCCGGTGTTGTACGGGCAACCGTTGGTGCTCGTCACCTGCTCGCCACCATTTAGGTCAAGCGAAGCGCATGACTGCAGGAGGAGCGTTCCGCCGGATGTTCTTTTGGCGGGCGGGCCTCGAATCAGCATGCCACGACAGCAGCGTGCATTCACGAGTGGATGGCGCGCGCGTACCGGTACAGCATGTGAGATCTGCGGCCTGCATATCCCAACGTTAGCTCAAACATTTGAATCAACATCAAAATAAAGATCAAGAGGCGATTCCCGAATCACGTGTGGTGCGGTCATGAATGCGGTCAAAGTCAGTTTTGAGTCAAAGTCGGCTGCTGTGTGCGTGTCGTTCTCGGAGGCGCGCGGGTCGAGGAAGAAATGTGAAACGTGACCAGCAGCTGGTGTGTAACCCTGACGTGAGTCAAACAGAAAGTCTTGATGAGTCAAAAGTTTGAAATGATGATTTTCAAGGCTCATCAGCTTGGATTCACCAGCGGTCATTCAGATTGTTGTATGTCTGCTTCGCCTTCCGCTGCCGGACGGACCGCCATACTGGTCCTCTAAGAACATCGAAGTCTTGAGTGAGGCAAGCTACTGCTCATGGTCAAGTCGAGGATCATTGCCTCGTGAACGCCGAGAAGCGCCAAGACGCTGGCAAGGCTCAGAGCCAACTGGAGAAGGGGCATTGAGCGCGAAGGCAACTTCTCGAGGCAGCAGGATGCCTTTTAGACCGCTTGTTTGTGAGTGGATGAGCTGCACTCGAGCCATCAATCAAAGGCGACAATGAAGCTCAGCATCGCACGGCATATCTCTTGGTTACAGCAACAATTGCTCTCTTCTCCAGAGGCTTCTTGTCGAGACCATGGGCGTCCAGCGTGGAAATCAAGGGCATGGATAGGTTTCTGGACATCCTGTACGACGACAGACGGCGAAAAGATGGCAGGGGTATTCTTACGTGTAAGCTTTGCGCAGTGCAAATTCCATCAAAATGACAGGGAGATGCTAATCGTCTCCTGCTGCCTTTACTTGTTTGCTCCTTTTCAGACGCCAATCACATCTCTGTGTAAGTGAGAGATCGACTCGCTACAAGGCGTCGCTTGCACTAAGTTGCAGTCCTGTATCTCATGGTCGTAGAATGGATGATCCCACAATCTTTGGCAAGATGCCTTTCAGCACCTTCCAGCGACAAGAGACCACGCGCTGGACTTTGGGCGCAGCGGACATCATGTTCACCAATGCGTGCGTGTATGCGCCACAATTTCCTGCGACACTCCGGCTGACCGTCCAACCTCTTCTTCGACCTGATGCCCATAGACTTTTCAGGTACTTTTTCACGCACGGTCAGGTGTTGTCTACCGATCGAGGGCGAGGGGTGTTCCAACCTTCGATAGACACAGCAATAGACAAGCTCTTGACGGGCCAATGGGTGCACATATTCCCAGAAGGTTATGTCAACATGTCCCGCAAGGCCATCTGTCGCAGGTTCAAGTGGGGCATTGGAAGACTGCTGCTCGAATCTCATCGAGAAAAGACGCCAATCGTGATACCCATCTGGATCGAGGGGCTGGACGCCATGATGCCTGAACCTAGGAATCACCCGAGATGGATGCCTAGACCGGGTGCAAACATCAAGATCACTTTCGGTGATCCTGTAGAATCTACGCTAGGGCCCTTGCTCCCATCCAAGGCACCAGCATGGCAAACAGTGTCATCGCCGGTTTCCTCAAATCAAGCTGCAAGCAATGTGTCTCTGTCTGACTCGCGTTCCATCTCGCGCGCAAGCAGCTCTTCGATATCAGACGACATTTCTTCCTTCTCTTCGTCAATTGACGCCGATTACCCAGCGCCAACCTCGGACAAGTATCCCCCACCCACTCCGCTAGCTCCTCCGCCGCCTGGCGGCTACGCTTTGCCACAAGCAGGCAGTCGGTCCCACAACTCTTTAGCTTCCGGAGCAGATCAGCCCGAAGCCAGGTTGCTTCGCAGCCGGCTGGCTGCAGCACTTAGGGCTCGCTTACTTCAGCTAGGCGAGAAGAGCGCGGGAAAGGAATTGAGAGGGTTGGTGCATACCCTCATGAAGGAGGAGAGGATAGAGTAGCATGCAATCTGGAATGCATAGACTTTCAGTCGCTCAAGTGTTATGTGAAAGATTTGATGGCGCGATATACCACTGCGGTCTCCATGCATCATTTGCAGAGGGTCACGTTTCTTGGCGGCATGCTTCAAAGAGCCGCTTAGAAGCAACGAAGTTGATCAGTGCTATGTTTGTCTCCTCAAGCAGCTACGTGAATGCATGCATTGGCTCGCCGGAGTCTCGACGATTTCTCGTCGCCACTGCACATGGCCGCTGGTCACAGAGCGCAGCGACTGCAGCGTAGTCGCGCTCTAGGTTCAGGATGCCTTGACCTTCTCTGTCTCCCAGATGCTGAGAGCGACAAAGGATAAGGAAGCAGGTGGTGTATTAGTCATGCGCTCGTGTTGGGGTAGTGCCCTCCTGGGATGAGCGCTGCTCGTACTCACGATGAAGTTGCGTAGCCTGCAGGGGCCTTGGGATCTATCTGTGGTCGAGTGGACAAGTAACGGGTGGTGATCAAGTGGAGTGGTGGGTGAGCGATGGAATAGCAGCGCTGCTGATTCACCATCCAACCCGGCCTTGGATGAATGGTGATATCAGTCTCTAGCACCACTCACACTTTGCCCTCTATACTTCCCAGTCAGCCTCTCATCCCTGCGCATCATCATCTCGTCCCAAGTGTCAATGTTGTGACGCAATGGCTAAGGGCGGGAGAAGTATTTGTTAGCGCTGGATGGTGTGCTGAGTCACGTAGCGAGAACGATGGGGTCGTATGGCGGCGATCGCTTCGCAGAATGCGGCCCATGTATGAGCGATCATCCTCTTGCGAGACCCTTGTTGCTAGGGTACATCTCGTACGTGCACAGCTCCCGACCAGGCGAATTCCAGCCTGTTTAATAGGGCATTCACTCCGGATCAAGGATGCCGATCCATCCTGGCGGAGCCCACACTCCTGCCCATCACGTCGAGATGCCGCAAATCGGGTGAGACCCACTTACCCTTCCGCCATTAGCAATGTGAGAAGCGAGGTTGTAACCGGTACCAGTGACGCCGAACATGACCACCACCAACCCCATAGGGATCATCGCTTCCCAGGGAACGGGCATCGTGACTGGCTGTGCGAAGTCGGAGGCTGTGGGAGGGCAGGGTGTGATCTTGGAGGACAATGCGATGACCTGTGAGTGTTGCGTGGTGCTGCAGTCTCGAGTCAGAGTCAAGAGCCCTGGTGACTTGTGACAGACGGGGTGGATGATGGTGCACCATCGAATCAGAGCTATGAAGCTGGCACGCAGGCTGGCGATGCCCACTCACGCGCTGCGCGCTCGCTTGCTGCTACTTGAAGGCGCACGCACACGAGGGAAGGCCACGTGATTTTTGAAATCTCTGGTCGATGCGATGATCTTCTCACCAGACTGGCTGCCGGCAAGAGGCGTGCTTCTTACCAACCTTCAGACTCTTGACTTCAATCAAGAATGACTGATCGCTCATCTTGGCGTCCATCTTCACACCATCGAGCACACCGCGCTGCACATATCAGCTCTCCTTGCCCTACCTAACCACAGCCTCGCTCTGGCGAATCCAAGCAGCGACGTTCGCCTGCACGATGTATCTTCTGGGAGCGCACCTACCAGACGACAAGCTGGTGCGGATCGCCCTGACAGCCTTCTACGGCATAGGCTACAGCCAAGCAAGCAAGCTTTGCTCGCGTCTTTCGTTGCACAAACATGCCAAAGTAGAGAACCTCACGGATGCTCAGATCAACCTTTTATCCGCCTACCTTTCCAGTCCAGGCTCTATCCCTGCAAGGCCCGCCAATCCCACCTCTCCAAATGTCAACTTCATCTTGAGCGACTCCGCCTCCACTTCTGCCTCGGCCCCGCCTTCGGCTGGTTCAGGGGCAAGCTCCACGGCTGAGGGTAGCCCTGCATCAGATGCGAAGCTGCCTGCGAGCCAAAGACATAATCCTGCAGACGATCCTCTCAGGTCAATCGTGTTGGAAGCGGATCTTCGACGGGTGCACGTCGCCAACATTGCGCACCACAGGACCGTAGGGTCTTACAAGGGAAGGAGACACGCTCAAGGTTTTCCTGTCAGAGGTCAGAGGACTCAGACGAATGCTAGGACCGCAAAGAAGCTCAACAGGATAGACAGGAGAGGCTTCAGCACGTGAGTATTGCCGCACGGGACATAGGTTTGCCAAGTGGAAGCCCTGCGATGTGCAACGTGCAGCGCACATCAAGCGCCTGCTACGAGACAAGGCTGTACGCTTCTGTAATAGGGGTCGGGTCTCACACGATAGGGCAGGTGCAAAGACTGACTTCTTTTGATTGGAACTTGCCTTCTCTCGGCAGGTCCACCTTCGCTCAGAGCACTTCGAGCACTTCATCGTCTTCGCGTGGCCCAGGACCAGTCTCGGCTCTCGTTGGTAGCATGGCAAGACCTCGATTCGCTCAGCTCAGGAATGCGGACGCACCGCGATGATGCGGGAGCGCACTCAAAGTATTCCACGATCATCTCGACGCCTCCCGCGAAGCCCGCGTGGCATGGCAATCAATGGTCCTAGTCCAGGCGACACGTGCAATTTCGAGATGGATGTGTGTTTGTAAGATTGTAATGCGTGGCTGATACAAAATCAGGACCTGTAGACGAGAGAAGAGGATGGTAGAAGTGGTCAGCGATCAAAGAGCTTCCACAAGGCCTTTACTTTTGCATCCATCGGGACCAGCTCACCTGTAATCGCCATTGATCTGTAGACAAGACGAGACCGGGACGGGTAAGCTAGGTAGGCGCTTAGCTCAAATGCACGCACGTTCCACTTTGAGTGACTCAGCATTCACTCACAGAAATGTACTCTTTGCTAAAGTCGCAAGTCCAGTAGCAAGCCTCCTCCTTAGCGCTTTCGGCACCAAAGCTGCCGCCTTGAAGATCGACCACAATGTTAATGTCTTCCAAGGCCAACAGGCGGCCTGCCTTCTCCTCGTCGACTGCTTGCGGAGCGCCATCTTTGAGCACTACGAGTGTCTCGTGTGTCTGCCCACCATCGGATGCGGCTTCTGGAGGCACAAAGGAGACAGTGACCCGCGTAGGATCGATTTGCCATCCCTGCGCTGATGAATCGAGCTGAGGCAAAGGGGCATAACCCACAGCGCACAGTATCCTTCCCCAATTCGCATCACCCCCGTGCAGAGCACACTTGACCAGCGCGGAAGTGCTGATGCTCGAAGCGATGGCGTGCGCATGTTCGAAAGTGGGCGCATTCTTTACCTTGATCTCCACGAACTTTGTAGCTCCCTCTCCATCTCTGACGATTAGGTGAGCCAACTCTTTGCAGAATTCTGTCAGTTCCTTTTCAAACACGGCGTACTCTTCAGGATGCCCCTCCTTGGTGATCTCTTCGCCTTGTGCTATTGCCAATTCCCCAGCTTCCCCTTCCATATCGGGTGCTAGCCCGTTGGCGAGACACAAGATCGTGTCGTTGGTGGACATGTCGCCGTCGACGCTTATGCAGTTGAATGTACGCGACATGGCGTGCTCCAATGCCGATTGCAAAGCGGGAGGAGCGATCGGAGCGTCGGTGCAGACCAAGCCGAGCAAGGTAGCATGCAGACCTTGGAGAGCGGGGACGGGACCCGACATTGAAGGGTGGATCATTCCAGCACCCTAGCAGATGGCGCAGAAGCAGGCCTTGAATGTCAGACTGCAATACACGCGTGTCTGTGTTTCGCTCTGGCAAACCTCCAGCTAGACAGCGCAACGCACCTTGTCAATGCCCACGATGCTGACATCTCTACCACCCAGCTCAAACCTCCGCGCTCGAAGCTTGGGGAAAGTGTCGGTGGTCATGAAGGCCCTGGCCGTCTCCAACCAAGCATCCTTGTCGCCTCTGAGCACATTCCCGCTGGTCAAGTGAGGCAAGCATTTCTTGATGGCCTGCATGGGCAAAGGCACCCCAATGACACCGGTACTGAGCAGCAGCGTTTCCTTGCCTCTTGGTAGCAGATCGCCCCTCTCTTGTCTTTCAGCCACGGCTGGAGGAGTAGGCAGCAGCTCGGCGATGGTCGAAGCGCACTCTTGAGCGTCTTGAAATCCTTTGAGTCCCGTCACTGCGTTTGCACAGCCTGAATTGACCAGTACGCTTCGAGCTCGGGCACCGGCCGGTGAGCCAGCGCCATCTATCAGCAATTGACTCGATAGCACGACCGGGGCAGCTTTGAACGCGTTGCGAGTAAAGCAGCCTGCTGCTGCAGCTGGAGTTGCCGAGACGATCAGTGCCAGATCTGGTTTAGGGTTCAGGTTGCTGGTCTTGGCTGCGGGTGGAGTAGCGACTGGCGAGATGGCGGCTTTGATACCTGCGTACGTCGCAGAGACCGCAAAGCCTTTGGGAAGATTTCGCTCGTCCAAGGCATGCACGAATCGTTCGGATTTGCTAGACATGCTCCGATAACAATATGAGAGCGATGCCCGGGTGAAGGGCGAAGCTTCGAGATTGCTTCTTGGTCGCGCGCAGCTCCGCAAGAGCGTTAGACTTGGACCTTGGATCATCATCGGCTGCCACCTGCACAACTATCGCCGCTTGACAGCAGGTCTGGCCTGGCTTTGTAGCGTCTGAGGATGATGGGGACCAATGGGCAAGCTTGAGCCGTGGGACGAGAACTCGCACTCCAGGCTATCAGAATCGAGCGGCAAGAATGTGATCCTACGTCTTGACCTGAATTATTCAAATCGAACATGCGTGACTCGGAACTTCCTTCGGGTCTGGGGCGAGCCTTGTGTTGGCACGTGAAGAACACATGCAGCGCGCTCGAGGGTGCACGGACTCAAACCTCGTCCTGTACGTGTTGCGCATTTTCCCGCAACCCTGCTGGCTTTCATCTATCAGCACGATTTGGGATGATCACTGATGGTTGTCATCGGATCTTTGGGTAACTTGAGCGAAGTCCGCAGGCGACTAAGCAAGACTCGATACAAAGGAGTCGACAGGACGCAGAGCCTACTGCTCTGTTGTCACACTCGGGCGAGCCCCTGCAGCCTACCCCGCAAGCCACAGCTGCGACGCAAATCAAGAAGTAGAACAAAAATTCTTTCTCGGGCAATGACGGGCCGTAGCAATACAAATCGTGACGCGTAGAGACGGAGACAGAGAAAAAGGAGAAAGAGAGAGCGAAAAGGCAGTGTCGACGCGAAGAGACTGATCTGGCGGACTGCTAGGAAGCGATTCGAGCGAGAGAAGGAGGATGGTTATGTTGAAATGTCATGCGCAAGCAGGGGATGAGATCATGAGGTGAAAGAACCCAATGTCGATCGATCAGCTGTGTTTCAGGAAGTCCTTTTTGGGCGGCAACGGACACGTAAATGGGGCATGTAGGGCTCGGAAGTGTTGCTGGCATGGCTGCTTCTTGAAGAGGTCGTCGAGCCGAGAGTGCTGTCAGTGGCAAAGCAAAATCGCTATGGTAGGCGAAAATCCAATCGTGGCCGTGTTTGCCTGGAAGTGGACGAGAAGACAGGCCTGGCAATTTGCCCCCGTCCTGTGCGCAGTTCGAAGCGAGTTACGAGCCGTCATTGGTGAAGAAGCCGGATGTAAAGTCCCAATCTGTGGTATTGGCGAGGGACCCATTGCCTGTCTGACCAGAATCGCCGCCCATGGCAGAGCCGAAGTCGCCCATGCCAAACATATCTCCAAGGTCGTTTGCAAAGATTGCGGAAAAGTCCGCCACGTTGCCCGATGAATCTGTTTGGCCACCGGCGCCAGTAGCCCCTGCGGTGGTGGAAAAAAGATTGGAGGCGTCGAAGGACGCGTTGCCTTGGCCGTTTGCAGCGTTCGTCCCAAGAAAGTCCATTGGGTGGGGAGGTCCGCTCGCTTGCGGTGCTTGACCTGCGGGATCTGAGCTGGTAGGATCTCCGCCAGCAGCAAGCGGACCGCCCTTGTCAGGCATACTTGCGCCGAGCGCATCGCGTCCGGGCGTTGGTATGCTCGAGCTGCCTGGTGTCGGCGCAATCGGAGTCGCAGCGTTGGCTCCGGCGACGCCAGTCGCTATACTCGCCGAGCCGATGACTGGTGTCTTATTGGCAGCTTTGGAGTTTTTCTACAAATTTCCGAGGTCGGTGTATTTGCATCTCAGCTACGTACACTCGACAAAGAAGTCATCTCGAATCTCGACGATCAAACAACTCACCCTCGCCCTCGTTTCCTTTTTCTTCTTCTCTGCTGCGGCTCCCTTGGGTGTCGCGCCAGCAGTGGTTGAAGCAGGTGAGGCGCCAACGTTGCCAGGTTGCGCACGTGGACTGGCGGCGGGAACTGTGGGTGGTCCCATTCCGCTTGCTTGTCGCGCCATTCCGGGTCGTTGCGTTTGGGGAATACCAAACTGCGGACCTTGTGGACCGCTTGACCCAGGCGTAGCGCCTTGGTGCTGGCCAGGAAGCCCGAGACTATGCTGAGCCTGCGTCATATTGCTTCCCTGAGGATCGTCGCCTGGCGGTGCTCCTCCCGGTCGCTGGAATTGCGCCTGTTGCTGTCCTTGAGGGTGCTGCGGTCCTGCTGCGAAGGGATTCGCAAAAGCGGGTTGCGTACGCTGCTGAGCACCCTCTTCACCATCAAGCTGAGGCTGGCCAGGTTGGTGCGGTGGACCGTAGCCGTCTCGTGAGGGCCCGTTCTGCTGGATATTCGGGAACGCATTCACGCCGTGCTGCGCGAAATTGGATCCTGGTGGTCCGGCTCTTGGCATACCATTCGTCAAGGGATTCGGTCCACCACCTCCGCCCATCATGCTCATCATAAGATTGGGATCGCTGGTCGCCATAGCCGGTGTCATGCGGCCCCTTTGTGGCTGCCCGGGCTGATTGCCGGGGTTCGCGCCTGGCACCATCCCGTTCATTCCGTGCAGAGGGCCGCCTCCGGCGGAGATGGGAGAGGCGTGGCCCTGTCTGTTGTGACGGATCTGCCCTTCCTGCCATAACCGAAGATGCTCCTGGTGGTTGGGCTGAGCCTTAATCATAGCTTCAAGATGCTTACGCCTTCCTTCCAAGGATGCGATATTCTTGCTACGCTGTGCCTCGTCCACCACGTGGCCGGGCGGTGGTTGTTGCTGCTGCTGCTGCCGTACCTGCTGCATCAAAAGAGAATTTTGAGATATAACGGCTGTCGCGGCGTGCAAAAGAAAGATTTCAGCAAGAGACCTGATAAACGGGAGGCGACACTTCGAGACTCACAGAACATTTGCTGGTTTGACAAGAGTGGATATCTCTGACCGTCAGGCCCCTCTATGTCGGATTGCGATGCCGAAAGAGGGAGACCGCCATGAGACAAGAGACCTGGCGGCAGCAGTTGTTGCGTTGGATTCGGTGCCGGCGTGCCAGGATGACTGCCCTGTAAAGAAGGCGTCTGATTCGGACCCACTGATCGCCTTCCATCCACATTCGGACCACCTTGCGCATTGTGGGGCGCGTTGACGCCGGGTGGCAAGCCCATACCCGAGTGTTGAGATACTGGAGAGCTATGCATACCTGGCATTTGGGGAGGTCGCGGTTGTCCTGGCCGTTGCAACGCGGAGCCACCTGCGTGCTCTGGCAAGGTCGCACTCCCAGCGACTGGCGAGCCCGCGCCTTGTTGACGCTGGGCTTGCAAGTGCCTGCCTAGCATTTGCTGCGATTGCTGCATCCTACTCTGAGCATCCATACCTTGCCGAGCGTTTGCCAAAGCACCTTGTACGAGTCCTAGCTTGGTTTGAGGCGCTAAAGCGAGTGCTTCTTCTCGGGAGAGCCCCTGCCTGGCTGCAGCATTGAACAGTAGCGCTTGCTGTTGCTGTGGAGTCAAAGCAGCGAGAGCAGGGATGTTGGGCCGTCCTGCGTTGTGATCGAGACCGTTGGGACCTGCTGAAGGCGCACCAGCAATGGAGCTTCGTGGCTGTCCTCCTGCACCGACAACGATGTTTGGGAAGCGAGCAGTCTCTGAGGGAGGGACACCTTGAGCGAGTTGGCTCTCGACGCGCCTCGTCGCCACCTGACGTTCCTGCTGCTGCTCTCTGAACTCGTGATATGCGGTGGCCTCAGCAGACCCTCGCCCATTGCGCGCGGCAAAAACGTCCCAAAAAATTGCCCAATACCTTAATAGGAATACGGATGGTGAATTTATTCGTGAGGGATACGTGGGCGGATGGCAGTCGCGTCCGAGAGAGCCACTTACTCGAACAAGAGACCTTGAGGGGTGCGAAGAGGGACCTGGGGGATTTCTACCATCCCAGCCTCGCTCACGAGCGTCTTTGCAGAGCCATGAAATCCTCGCCGCGTGAGGTAGTCCCATACGTACACATCGAGCCTGCTCATGTGGTGAGAACGGGGTCATTAGCAGTCTGAGCAGATGCGGAATGTGCCCAGCACATCGCCAAAGGATACTAACTTTGTCGCTTCATCACCCCACGCAGCGGTCTCGGGAAGCGGTCCATGGACGCTCTTAACAAGTTTGTTGTAGTCTTCCTGACTCTGATGCTGCGGATTTACGCTCTTGTTCGCATTTGAGGGGCCCGCGTCACCACGTGCCCGCTTGTCTCCAGCTCCCCCGCCAACGATCTCTTTGCTTGGTGATGTAGGCCGCTTTCGAGAAATTGTGGTTGTGCCATTGTTCGCACCGGCTCCATTTCCAGGAGCAGTCTGAGGCTGTATACTGGGTCCCATGTTAAACGAGTGCTGAGGCTGCGGCACCCCTGTTGACTGTGGAGCATACGGCTGTGGGGGATACGTTGTGGTGAGTCCGACAGGCGCTCCGCTTGGGCCGGGCCCAAACATGATCTGCTTGCAGCTTTGTCTCGCAGGCAGCAGACGCAGAACTGCCCTTTAGCTGCCTCGCCAGCTATTTTGGCGCTCGGAAGCTGAGTTGAAGTCTTCCTCTTCGTCGCGCGTGTATATGAAGAGCAGACGAAGGGGAACAGCTACAACAGTCGGGCCGACAGCTTTCTGTGGTTGTATGCAGGACTGCTGGCTAAGAAACGATCCGTGGCGCAAGAATGGATAGCCGACTACTGAAGCTGTATGGATAGCCGTCAGAGCACTGATAGCGCTAGTCGAGCGGGTGCTTTGGCCGGCCAAGGTCAAAGGGGTTGATCCTGGAGGAGGTGGCCAAGGCACTGACTCGACGCGTTGAACCAGACAGCTCAAGATCCGGAGCCCGTTGAAGCGCCAGCTTGATGGATGAGATGCGACCGGTAGGTCTTGAGGAACTTCCGATGAAGATTTCTACACCGCGTTTGAAGCGAGCGCGGATTGTGCTCAATGGAATGTGTGGATTGCAGCAAGCTTGACAAGGTAGAGAGCAGTCAGGCTAAGAGTGGCAGCCAGAGTCGATATGAGCGAGAAATCGCGAAGTGCATTGGCGGAGATAGATGAAGCGCGAGGACGCGATGCTTGCTTGCAGCTGGAGCGGCTTTGCGTCACGCTATGCGCGCGCTGGAGGTACGCTATGCTATATAATTGCTCTGCTATGCTATGGTACGATGCGGCACGGCCACAGTCAAGGTGCATGCGGCTCTTTCTCGTGCGTTGCGCGCATGTGCTGAATATGTCATCTCCCAGTCGTGAGGACTAGTCACGAGTCTGAGTGCTGCTGCTGCTGCATGCCATGTCGCACCACTTAGAGGACGTGAACTAACACTTCAGCCGCTCTAGCATTCCGACACTCATGACTCAAGCTTGTACGCGCTTGCTGTCCATGTTAGCTGTATATAGCAGGCCTACATCATTGGAGAGCAAGCACAGCACATCTCAGGTCTGACAGCAGCAGCAGCAGCAGCAGCAGCCACGACCGCCATGCAGCTTGAGCACTGATCGAGCAGGACCATGGCGCGGGTCGCGGAAGCCCCGGCTCTTGATTCCATCGCGCGGGCGTGGGAGAGAGGTTTACGCAGCGCCCGCTCGTCCGTATCAGGCCAAGAATCCTGAACTGTAGCAGCGCGGCACCAGAGGAGGCATCGTGCTGCAGGCGCGTGTGCGTGCGCGGGGCTTTTCTTTTCCAGCGATGGCCTCCCTACAGCATCACACACAATTTCGAATCTTGAATCTGAAATGTGAATTTGAATGGCTGTCTCGCCCTCATCGTCGAATTTTGAATCTTGAATGTGAATTCACACTCAAAGAGTACCCTGAATCGTCGAGTCTTATATTGTCTTGATCAGGGAGGGTCACGACCGAGTGATCATGCGCGCCTCTATAGAGCCGACGAACACAGTTAATGTGAATGCAGACGGTGAAGGGTCGAAAACGCTGGTGGGGGTCCTCGACTCACAGGGGTCACAAACGAGAATTTCGATTGCATCGCAGACATTCAGCCATCGTGAATGTGAATCTTGAATCGGACACAGATGGCACGCGGCAGGAAGAAGACCTTTTTGCTCATCACCCTGCGCTGCATTCGCTTCTTGATCCTGAAGTCACAATCAGCGAATCCAACGTCTATACAGCATCGTTCAGGCGGTCATGAGGAGGGCGAGGCCTCTTCATGCAGTGTGAGTACGCGCGGCTGCTGCATATTGTTCGCAGAGGTCTCCGACCAGCAGGCGACCATCATATAGAAGAGTCTCAGCACACAGGAATACAAGTATCCCACGCTTAATCGCTTTCTAGCTTGTTACGCACTTACGCACTACTAGTGAAGGCCGCTGTCCTGCTCGCTAGCAAAGCGTTGGTCAGTCGGCCCTGTGTTGGTGGCATTGCAGCCATCGAGGTCTAGGCCGTCCAAGAGCCTGGTTTCCATTTGTTGCTCCCAGGGGGTATTTGACGTCCGAATTGCACATATAGCAGCAGCATGCAGACGGTGACAGGGCCACAACTCTTGATGATCATCGGAGCAATCACGAATGTGAACGAAGTCCGCATCAGCTCCACAATCGCAGATAGAGCTTACCGGTTTGCGCTTGAGCAGAAGCAGTAAACGTGCGACAACGTACCGTTATCCAATGTGGCATCGCAACTCTCACCTCTCGGAGTCTGAGTGGCGTGCGACACAACCGTGGGTCAATAACATACTCATGACTCACGACTTGGGCGCACACGAAGCACGTACCAGCACCCAGTCGTGGGGTGTTGTGGCTGACTGGACATGTATACCGAACATCGACACGATGTCCTTTCTAAGCTGCGTTGAGGTAGCCATGCAACGCCGAGGCACCAACAGCATCGCGCCACTCATATCTCCTTGCACTCCCGACCGGAGCATCCTGTAGCACCCTGCTGGTGTGCCTGTGCCGGATGCATGGCAGCAGGCTATAGGTAGGCCCTGCCCAACGCGGCTCACCGGAGCCTTGATGATGATTGAGTGCTATGAGGAGGCTGCGTGGTGCCTTCATTTACTTTCACAAGTCCGAAATTACCGCAATTGTGATCCAAAATAGGAAAATTTCAGGGCGCAGTCAGCATGGGGAATCGCACGATCCTGCCATCGTTCAAGGTAAAGCCACAATCATGAACTCAAGCAAGACTCTCAAGACTCTTCCAATCATGCTTCTTGATTCTTGATTATGGTTGAGTCTGAGTCGTGAGTGGGCGACGCGCTCGTGTACCATCCCATCCAGCAATGACGTACACCCTCTCACTTGTGACTCATGATTGACTCGTGACTCACGGGTTGATGAGATCTCATATCCTATCGTGTACTCAAGACTGTTGTACTGTACACATACCAGAGCCAGCAGCGAGGCTGAGATTCGGAAGAGAGCCTACGCGTGCCGCTCTACAGTGAGGTGGCTAGCGCGCTGGTGCTCTCTCGTACGAGAAGCTAGCCCATGATCAGCATGCACGCGCGAAGCATATTGTCAAGTCACACACGCATGCTGCCCTCCAAGATTGCGGTGATCGTCTCCGTTTTGAATGAGCACGAGTATTCACGATTCACGTTGTCAGTCAAAACAGTGTGAGTTCTCAGCGCGGGCACACTCGTCCAATTCCACAGGCAAGCCGAGATCAAGCGTCCTTCCGCAACGCCTAGCCAGGGCAGCCTATACTTGTACTACGCCATCTTCTCGTTGCGGTTCGGGTTCCGAAGCGAGCCACACAGGCGCTCTCAAAGGCTCAATCTGCTTCGCGACTGGTCCGAACCTTGCCATGCTGAGCTTCAAGCTAGCAGGGCCTGGGTTAGGAGTGCCAGGCCCTTCCAGCCAGAAGCTGTATTACGTTGCTCTCCGTCAACCCTCACTTGCTTCCCATCAACAAGCACTCACAAGATCGGCTACGTTGAGACTCGATCAGCTACACACCACGGCGGCACCTACAACGATCGTCCGTGACCCTTCTCCTGGTACGCTTCGTTCACGAGATCCCACCACATGTGCTTTTGGCTCTTCTTCGCTCCAGCGCAGCTCAGCGCACTTTGGTGCGACATGTATTGCAGGAAGGTTACAGATGCGGCGGAATCATGGGAGTGCCTCGCAATCACCCGACCCGTCAGCCTCGGAGAACGAACGCAAGACGGCAAAAAGGGACATGTCGCAGAGCTCACCGAATCGTGCTCGAGATCAAGATGACCATCCGGTTCAAAATGATCAAGCTGTTGAGCGAAGTCGTCAGCATGACGCTAGCCATGTGGCATCTTCTAACACAAATGCGAAGGAAGATGCCAGGGTACCCGAGAGCTTGTACGAGAATTATCCCAGATCTTTGAGAGAGCTCGCTACTCGCGCAGCAGCGGCTGGGGCTGCCTTTGGTGGATACCACCAGCATTCTAGCGACGGGAGAATAGATTCGGAGAGTAGCGGTGTGCAGTTCAAACATTCACCAAGCCCGGGCTCAAGCTCTGGTCTCTCCACTGCTCCCGGCGGAAGCTGGACCAGACCTAGAGCGCCATCAAAGGAGGAACTCTTAAGACTTGCGAGAGGCTTCTGGACTAGATTACGCATCCGCTTCAAGTGGTTCACCATTCGCGGATTCAGGCGCTTCAATGTCGACGATCTGAGTGCCTTCTTCACACTGGGCGGTTTGGGTACCATCATTTTCATCGTCGTCGGCACGTGAGTAGCCAAGCAGTCTGATGGCATGGCACTGAGATTCGCAACATGATGGTCTGATAGCGCTTCCACATCCGCACAGCACAACTGCCGTGTCGCTAGTGTTTGCAGCTCTGAACGCGCTGAACTTGCAAGAGTTCTTTGCCCGAAGGATTGCAGATTATTTGACTTCTCATACTGGTATGACCGTCATTTTTGAATCAGCAATCGTTCCGAAGTGGTCGACCTCGCGTATCTCCTTCCAGAACGTGTTTCTGAGTCGTCGCGCTCATTTCGGAGATCCCGAAGCCTTACGAGAGGAGCGCAGAGCAAGGCTCGAAGCGCGAGCCAAGGGTATGGGACAAAGCAGAACAGCGCATACAGCTGGTCAAGGAATGGCTTGGGAGGGCACGCACTGGACAGAGCGGGAAGACGAGGAGGGCATTGGAGAGGAAGTCGCCCCACCCATGAGGGAAGATGCGACAGGCGGCGAGGATGAGGGCAACTTTACACAATTTGATCTCAACGTCGACTCTATTGACGTCACACTCAGCTTCAGCAGATGGTGGGACGGCAAAGGCTTAGTTGAAGACGCTGTAGTCAGAGGCGTCAGGGGCATTGTTGGTGAGTGTTGACGCGCGTCAATGCCACATTTCAAAGCTGTTGCTGAAGCGCGCAAGCACCTCCCCAGATCGACGCAATGTCCACTGGGATTCCGACAAGCCATACGATCCTCGCGCAGCACGTAGAACCTCTCGGCCGGGTGACTTTGACCTCTCTTCTTTGGTGCTCGAAGATCTGTTGGTGACAGTCTACCAACCTGGAGACTTTAGACCCTTCAACTTCAGCATCTTCAGCGCGGTGGTACCTCGCCTCCGCAAGCAATGGCTGTTCTACGATCTGCTGGGTGCTGATAGCATCACGGGGCAAGTAGACGGCTGCTTGTTTAGCCTACACAAACCTCAGAGAGTGGGAAAGAGCACCGAAAAGGATGCCGAGAGTCGCCGTGGCAGGTGGCGAACCCTCGTGAGTTTCGTCTTCACGGAAGCGCGCGCGGCGCGCGAATTTCGACCCATACTCATTCACACGCACTCTGCTGCAGTCACGTGTAAGGATTGATGGGGTCAGCTTTGATCATATTCAGAATCAAAGCGACCTGCACGGACCTGTCTCCTGGATCAACTCCGGCAAATTTGATGGTGAGTCGCGCGCTCTGATGCTTGCTGTGCCACGCTTTCCCAAGCTGACAAACGGGCCGGCTTTGGCATGGTGACCTTTGCCGCAGTGGTCGCCGACATCAAGTTCCCTCGCGATCTCGACTCTGACGTTGACATCAATGCGATCATTTCGGAAATCGTGGACAACCTCGCCCACGCTGTTTCTGGCGACCCTTGGGAACGCGCACCAGGCGCTGGTGATGACGACGAGCCAATTCCGGGTCAGCATCGATTGAGCGGACCTGCCATCGAAGCGCCAGTCACTGCCGTCGGTCCAGCAGCTGAAGAGGCTTGGCGGCACTCTCAGCGCGAGAGGGAGGCCGCGCAAGAGAGTGAGGAAATGTCAAAACGGAAAAATCGTCGAGCTCGCTTCAGTCGGCGGCGGTGGAGGGAGAAGGAGATCGGGTCTCACTCCGAGGACGAGACTGAGGTTGAAGGCGTCCCTTCCGCAAGCAACGAGCTCGCTGCAGCCGCTCCTATACCGCCAAGCATTCCGCCGCCTTCGGTCGTCATCGATCTCGATGTGCGCTTTCGCGACATCAAAGCAGCTGTTCCTTTGTTTCATTCTGCTCTGGGGTATAGAACGCAGACCTTCGTCAGGCCCATCGTCGCCTTCATGAATGCCAATCGCACATTGATTCCAGTGCACTGCCGAGTCGTCATGGACTTGTCGGAATTCAACGGAAGCATGGACCTAGCGCAAACCGGACTGCTGCCAGTGGTGTCGGACAAGATCTATCAAGCACTAGCCAATCACGTCACCAGCCAGCAAGCTAATGGACAGCGGCTTCGTAATGTCAGCAGCTGGAGCTTGAGGGTAGCTGCCCAGGGTCTACTACAGTTGGCCAGCACCATCAGAGACAGCTTTACGCGCGCTCCTCATCTCACCCCGCCGCCTGAGCCGGACACTACGTTGACCAAGACGCGGGGATAGGGGCGCCGAAAATTAGGCATTTGCGTTCGGATTCACGATGGATACATTTCCGCTGTGTGGATAATGGAGTGACAAGGATTGTGATGCGCTCGATACCCACCACACGGACGCCATAACGGACCGCTTTTGTATTTCATGTATCTACGCCATCTTCGTGCGCACCAACATGAGGCTTGAGATGTAGGCTTGTCTGACCAGCTTTCACGTGCGATCAGGGTGCGTACGCAGTGAAGCCTCCATCGACAGTCAAGAGACTGCCGGACATGTACTCGTTGGATGCCTATCAGGCGGGAAGCCGTGTTCACGAAACATTGTGAGCACTGAATCTCTTTACTGCGCGAGCTGGTGCTGCCTCCTCGGCGAAAATGACTCACAAGGAAGATTACTGCAGATGCCATTTCCTCTTCCGTTCCCGGTCGACCAACGGGAACGTTCATTCTGCGCGGCGGGCGGTAAGAAGTGTTGAGCGTCAGATCGGCACATGCGTGACATGTGTTGAGATTGAGAGCCTCCTGTGATGATGCTCACGTGGGAAGCTTGTCGCTCAGATCGCTCTTGTTCGTCTTTTCGTCTTTGCTGTCCGCCGTCATTTGACTCGGAAAGACTGTCGAGTAGGCTGGTCGTCAGCGCGCACTCACGGCTTTCGTGTGCGCAAAGTGGGAATGCCAAGTCGCAGTGAGCGCCTGACTCACCTCCAGGCAGGATTCCATTCACCCGCACGCGCGCCGTCGTCGCCGTCGTGAACTCGTATGCTAGGGTCTCGGTGAGCTGCAGCACAGCAAAAGCGATGGTCGGTCAACTTTTTTTTTAAAGCCAAGATGAAGCGTGCTTTGATTTGATTGCTCACATGATTTGCGCTGGCTTTGGCTGCGTTGTAGGCTACGACGTGATTGCACAGAGGTCAGCTCGAGGCGCTGCAGACGCACGACAAAGCCCTAAAAGGGTCAGCGCAATCAAACCTACCGTAGTGCATCTGGCTTTGCTTCACAACTCCGCTGATGGATCCAGTCGACATGAACACGCTCGTGTGATTTTTGCCCTCCTGCTTGGCCTTTTCCGAGGCGGCGGCCAAGAGAGGCAACAAGGTGATGGCGGTGAACAGGATGGAGTGCGAATTGAGGCTGAACAGATCGTTCCAATTCTCAAACGAGTTGGCCTGCAATATCCTCTTGGAGTACTCTTCAGCCGACACCTTCTCCAGCTTTTTGGCTGGATCCATGCTTCCGTCTGGAAAGCTGGTATCCGCACCGAAGTGCGTGGGTCCCGCTCCTCCAGCGTTGGCGATGACGATATCAGCACGACCTTCTTTTGCTTTCAAATCATCCGCTAGCTTTTGGATGCTCTCCTTGCTCGTCACATCCACTTCGAAACCGCCTGCAAAGCCGTACTGCTTCACTGCATTCTCCACCACTTGGTTTCTCCTGCTGGCAATGTATACGCGCGCTCCTGCTCCTGCCAAGCCCTGAGCTTGCGCCAATCCGATACCCGTCGCTCCTCCGGTCACGAGAGCGACGCGATCAGAAAGGTCGTAGAGTTGAGCTGGCTGGAATCTGCTCGAAGTCATCTTGTGCGTGCTTCTGCGGTGTAGCGTTGTGGTCACACTTCACAATCAGAGGGAGCAGGTCGGCTGTGCATGAGATCAAAGAGTCGGGATGGTTGAAAGGATGGATGTAAAGAGTGCTCAGACTGCAAGGGTATGGTGATTATTAGCATGATGCGAAGTTGCACACGCTGAATTGTCGACCTGAACTCCACCAATCACAATCCAAGCGCGCGATGGGACCCCAGCATGAACTCACGTCACACCATCACCTCAAGCCATCGAATCACGGCTCACGGCTCACGGCTCACGGCTCACGACTTCACGACTTCACGACTCGGTGACTTGCTTTGACCTAAGTTGGCTGACAACTGCGTGGTTGATGTCATCTTTGGCCTAAATCCTTGATTGACGTTGATCATCGATCATCATGTGCGTCAAGTTCATGCGCGGACGCGCGGCAGCATATATGCAGCATCTCGGTCAAACCGCCTGCGAGACTTTGCACCTACAGACACAAGCGCCTTGGTGTGCCAGCAGCAGCTTGCGTTTCGCACGTCCCCCACGTCCCCCACCCCACGTCTTCGCGCCTTTTTCGATCTCCGCCACAGCTTAATACCTTCGACGGTAGGCACAGCAATGCGAATCCTCACATCCTGCTCAGACGGACGCAAGGCGCGAGCAACACGTTGATGTGGGTCTCCCCATCGCGTTTACGGAAGGTACAGTCGATGCTGCTTCCCTTTCAGGCACAAGTTGGGCATCGAAAATCTCAAGCACGAAGCGCGAATGATGCCTTGGCGATGCAAGCGCTGGTGGGACCTGCAGCGGCAAGTCGCAGCTTCGATGCCTGCGTCGCCAGCCAGGCGCAGCCAGCTTGAGCAACAATCGTGAGTATCGTGAGCGGGACTTGCCGCACTCGTGACTCTAGGAGCGTATAGCTACGGCAGGTGGAAGCACGGCTTTCAGGTACTGGCACTGGCACTGGCACAGCAGGTATGGGCTTCAGATAGAGCACGTGCATGCATGCATCCATGGCAAGCACCCCATTGTGATTTGACCTGCTTCGTACCGTCCATCAACAGCTCGCACGCAGACTCACAACTTTTTTGACTTGCGCTCGTGTCACGACTCGATCGGATCGTAGAAGAGACAGCTGCGCACCTCAACACTGAGCTGCTTCGCCACCACGATCATCCGTTGTAAGACCGCCTTCTTCGTCCTGAGTGGTGCAAGTCAGAATGTCCTTCTTTTCGAAGACGTTGAGCAAAGGAACATCGGAAGGACAGTCAGAAGAGGCTGCTGCCTTCCTCGCCAGATTTGCTACGATCAACTTCCCACCAGAGGCCACTGCGCAGCCTCGCGACGATGTCGACTCTGCACTATCTCCAAGCCTGAAGGCGAGTGAGCATATGGATCTTGCAAGCGTCTAGGGGTGCTGCTTAGCTGACATCTTTGCAACACCTAGCACGAGGAAGATCTGCGCCGCGTTTGGGCTCAAGCTCGCACGAGCCTGGAGATCAAAGCCTTGGCTCCCTGCGTCGGCCTAGTCGATGTGCATGGCGAGGCAACGGCGGACGCCAACGGATCAATCTTCAAGACACGAAGACGTCTGGTCGAGGCAGATGCATCGGGTCAGCAGCCCAAAATTGTCGCTATTCCCGGCGGACCACGCACCAATCCCACACGCACGGATGCTCAACACGTGCTCCCTCTGCCTGAGTCGGATCGCCGACCGCATGGAAGCCCCGCCGTTGCGAGTCAAGATGAATTTCGCGAGGCTTTCAACATACTGACCGAGAACGCCTTCGCGCTGCTGCACGAAAAGGACTGGCAAGGGGTGCTCGTCGCCGGCGGGTCGGTGCTTGCAGCGCTTACGCCGCTCCCACAAAAGTGCAAAAAGTCCAGACGCGAACTACGTCGCTACTTGCACGAAAGTGGGCCCTGTCGTGGTAGCGACATTGACGTCTTTCTGTACGGAATGGCCGATGACGAGACTGCCAAAGCAAAGATCGCTCGCATTGCTCAGCTCATCGCCGACGCAATCCCGTGGGATATCACCTGCATTCGCTCCAAACATGCCATCACTCTGGTCAGCCAGTATCCTCACCGTCACGTGCAGTTTGTGCTTCGACTCTACTCTAGTCCAGCAGAGATCCTGATGGGTTTTGATGTCGACAGCTCCGCAGTCGGCTTCGACGGCAAGCGGGTCTTGGCCGCACCTCGAGCGTTGATCAGTCTGATCACCCAGAGTAACACTGTTGACATGACAAGACGCTCTCCTTCATACGAGGTGCGCCTAACCAAATACGCGGAGCGCGGCTTTGAGATCTACGTGCCTCATTTGCGCCGCGCAGATATCGATCCCTCTATCTACGAGCGCACACCGCTCGGCATCAAAGGTCTCGCACTCTTGCTAGTCCTTGAGAAGATGAGGAGCCAGAACGATAGAGACGCGTTCTTGGATCAGCGTCGCAAGGACAGGTCCCGACCAGAGCTTTCCTGGCAGCAAAAGTGGTCTCGCCAACGCAATACTCTTTCAGGTGATTTGAAGACGGGGACTGAGCGAGGACAATGGCTTGCAAGCCTTGCAACGTCCAACTACGATGCTCCCAGCACAGCTTTTCACCTGCCGTATGGTCCCAGATGGCAGGCTGCTCGAATCGAAAAGCTGCTTTACCGGACCGATGTTGTATTGAACGCAGCGTGGAACGAGAAGGTGAGTTCGATGAAGACGCTTACACGCGTCCCTTCTGACTCACGTCTTCTCGCAGAATAAAGCCCTCCTTGGTCTACACAGACATCCCGCGTTCTTCGGAACCATAGAGGAGTGCATGGAGGACTGCTGCAAGCTTTGCCCGGAACCGCAGTCCTCGGAGCAGAAAGAACTCTTTGAAGAGCGGTGCAAAGATTATGTCCGTGGGCGCGTTGAGTGCGCACCGATTCCCTGTTTGTAAGCTTTGCATCGTCGCTGTACTAAAAACGCTCCCCTCTGCACAGATTTATCAAGGAGGAGCCTGGACGTCAGCTGATGAGCGGTTCCTTCCAGCCCCTTACCGACGATGACTGGACGACAGTGAGTTGCGGTGGTGACGCGTCTATAAAACAACAGCCAACAGATCCAATCACGCCTTTCTCCAGCAAGCATACATGACCAGCGCTCAAATGATGATGAAGGCTGTGCTGGATGGGAATCTTGAGTGCATACATCGTTTGTGCTTAGGAGGCGAAGATACAGCTAGGAAGGTGCTGCTCAGCCGTGATCAATCGGGTCGAACCCCGCTGCATCTGGCTATTCTCGAGCGAAAGACCAAAGTCGCAGTCACACTTGTTTCGCTTGGTGCCCGTGTTACTTCGCGTCTCGCAGATGGCAGATCGGCCTTCATTTTAGCTGGTAAGTGCGAGAAGCAGGTCAGAAGCTCTGAAATCACTCACAAATGCTCTTTTTCGAGTTCGATAGCTGAGCAGGGCAACGCCACCGTTGTGCAATCCATGCTCATGAGAAGCAACGCGAACGAAGCTGCAGCCTTGGAAAAGGATGCCACGAGGAAGGAGCGCACCCCGTCGGCCTCCGACGGTGTAACCCGGATAGTCAAGAAGCAGAGCGAGGAAGGTGGTGCTGACGATGAGGCTTCCGACGATGGAAATCGACACTCTGCAAATGAAGACCAGGATTCAGAGGATGACGAAGCTGTGCTTGTCAAGCGTCCAAACAAGTCGAGAAACGAGGAGGCTCAACAGGAAGGTATTCCCCCCGAGGTCGAGACACCAGATGTCATCGCGCTCGAGGACTACGCTTGGGATGTGAGTTTGAAGATCCGCACCACATGTCGCCACAACGCTGACAGGTATCCTCGCATACATTCCAGTCTGGGCTGCCCGCCTTGCATTACGCCGTGACGAGCGGCGACCCAGAAACAGTCAAGATACTGTTGGATGCAGGAGCATCACCGAACATGGCAGTAGCTGGAGTGCATCCTCTTATGGCTGCTGTGCTAATTCCGGAAGACGAAGCTGCAATCGCAGTGATCAAAGTCTTGCTAGCAGCCGGTTCCTCTAGCTCAAGGATGACGCTGCACAAAGCACGTCACAATCAAGTCAAGTCGACCATGCTTGCGTTCACAGCTTTCGTTCTGGCAGGGCGTCAGCGTTTGGTAGCAGCATTGCTGGAGCTGGACGCACAGCGTGCCGAATTTGCAGCCACCTTTGCACTTTTCCAAGGTCGTTCTTATAGCGATTTCGCTGTAACCTCTTCGCTCAGCCTCGCACTGCTCACCGGTCAGCTTGGAACGGCCGCGTTGCTACTAGCTGCAGGTGCCAAAGCCCACATCACGGGCGAACAATATGGGGCCGGCCGCAATTGCTCGCTTGTGCGGAAAGACAATTACAATTATGTACAGGTGCGCAGCTTTGCCACGAAGGCTTGGTCTTGGTGACGAATGCTAATGAGCCGCAGTTTCTGTTTGGACATGCCAGGCTAGCAGCCTTGTCACAACTATCCAGCCCCTCGCAGCTTCGCTGCTGCAAGCCAACTTGGGCTTCTACCTGCTTCTTGCTGCTGATGAAGATCTTCCTATCACCGCTCTACCTCACATGATGCAACTCGGTATCACTAAGATAGATGAGGAGACGGACCAAACTGTCAAGCCCCTCTCCATTCTTGATGAGTTGGTTAGCTTGATTCCACCTGGGGAGGACGAGCGGAATGCTGTACCGAATGCGGAAACGATCGAAGGCCAACCTCAAAATTTGTACGAATTCGCCCTCCGAAGCGCGCAGGACAAGGCGCGACTTCTCTCCCCGAAGAACCAGACTCCATCAAACCATCGAGCCCCGCTTCTGACATTTGTTGCAGAAGCGCGAAGAGCAGTCCTGCAGAGAGGAGCAAAGCCGTGGTCAGGTCTCGTTTTCGAGCCGCCACTCAAGGATGAAGTGCAGTCTCAATATATGCGTGGACGCAGACGGCTCTTTTACAACTCTGCGGACGCGAGCAAGAAGGTAGTCGAGGACTTGCTCTCCAGTGCTGGATCGCTTGGAGAGAGTCAAATCCAATTCTATTTGCTCAATGGCGGAACGAGCTACACGATGCAGCGCCTTGCGCAGCCCGTCGCTGTGTCCCAAATCGATACCTGCCGCCGGCTTTTCGATGCAGTAGTACGCGGAGAAAATGAAACAGTGACGAAATTGTTGCAACGAGAGGTTCCCGCAGCGATCTGCTATGGTCTGCGAGGCCCGAGCACCAAGCAGACGCTACTTGATGTTGCAGTGGGCTGCAACAGGTGGCAAGTCGCCGAGACCATTCTGCACATCAGCGCTCAGCAGTTTAAAAGGTCGGAGCAGCCCAAGACTTCTTTCTCGATGGGTTACAATTATGATGACAGTGGTGAGTCTGACTAGTGCAACTCAGATTGAAGGCGCTACCTTCCCGCTTACAGTCTCTCATCCAGACGATGAATCGAATCTCGATATCGTTGAAGACGAGCCCAGGAAGCAACTTGATCAGGTTGACGAGGACGCGGCGAAATTGCCTCAGAAGACTTTGGAATCCCTCACAGCTCCGACTGACCTCGTGGACAACATTGACTGGATTCCGGCGGTCAAACGCGCCATCGAGAAAGATCCTGAGTCGACAGATCGCATCTGCGAGATGGTGACGGCAGTCTCTGCAAGCACCAATGGTGAGCAAAGTCCTCAGTGGAGCTGCAGACCAAGGCCGAACGTTTCGCTGAATCTGCTCGCGGCCGTACAAACGAAGACCCGTTCTTGAAAAGCAGTGGCACCGGTCTCGTGCTGGGTCTTACGCTTGCGCTGCTTTGCGACAAACCGAAATTGTTCCAGCACTATTTGGTACATGCAGGTTGCTCATTCGAACAGATGAGGGTGCTTCTTCGCACGACACGGTCGAGTCAGACCGCCGCCAGTGCCGAGCTAGAAAGCGATGAGGAAGAGGAAGGCGATGAGATCCTGCTTGCGCAAAGCGCGCACTCTTACTACCCAGGGCTTCTCGTCCACGGAAGGCGCAAGCGTGATTGGGCCAGAGAAGGTCCGACCAGAAGCAGCATAGGGAATGCTGCGTTACTCCCGTCACGTTTGCTCGAACTCGCGAGCAGATATCAAGCCCAGGATTGTATCAGGTGGCTGGCTCAAGATAATTACTCAAACGTTCGTTGCCTATTGTCGGCGCGTATTGAGGCCATCAAGAACGATTTGAATGAGGGCCTTGCGGACGGGGATGCGCAACGTAAGCTTCACACGGAACTACGATCGCTCGCTCAATTTGACTTGGAGTCCGAGCAGCACTTGGCCCTGATCATTGGCGCCACCGCGGACGACGTCGATAAGCATCTCTCGCCAATCGGAAGTGCCGCATCGCACATAAGACCTGGCAGGCGCTTGGACACTTTCGAATTGCTGCACCAGCTGTTTCCCTCTTTCACATCCTCGTGGGTGGAGTCACCGCTGCGCGGCGACGTAGATGCAAAGTTTGCTCCGTACTTCTATGTGTTGCGCGAATTCCTTCGCAAGACGGAGGTCTCAGAAGAAGACGTTCGCCGCTTCAAGAACGAGTTGAAATGGCTGGTCAAACATGGCACCGACCCGCTCGCAATGGATGATGAAGGGTAAGTCCATGCACGTTGATCTTTGTTCGTGTGCAAAGAGCTCAAGAGGATTCTTTACGCTACCCCAGTCTAAATGCTCTCCACACACTGGTACGAACCGCCATTCCTGCTATCGGTTTGCAAGCATTTGCTGCGATGCAGGATGCGCTGGGCAGAGACGTCATCTGTCATCTAGTGTCGCAAAGTCCGCTTTCCGGGCCAAGACGAGGCAGCACACCCCTGCACGAGCTTCTCTCGTCCAAACACCTCGCTGAGCTGCAGGACGACCAGAACATCAATTCGTCCGGCGCAGCGAAGGACGGCTTAGCTGCGGAACTGCTTGCCTTGCCCGACGAGGCGGTAGCTAGAGCTCTGAAGACCAGAGACGTAGCTGGCTGCACGCCTCTGGCTCTCGCCATCAACAATGTGCACGCTGTTGGGACCCGCATCCTCTTGTCCAAGTGCAAAAGTCTCGATTTGCTCGACCTTTTGAGATGGGAGGATGTGGTGGGAGATTTGCCCGGCGAGAAGCTGAGGCGAAATATGATTCAGCGGTCAGTGAATCACGAAACGACAGACAGAACCATTCCTCGCTGGCCTGAGGTTTGCGATCTGCGAAACGGAGTGCTGAGTTGGAAAGAGTATCAAGAGCGCTTGGCTGCGCGAGGCAAGGAGGCGCTGCACCGCAACATTCCTGGGCAGATCGCAGATCTGAAATCTGCCCTCGCACTTTCACCTACTATGAGCCCTGAACTATCGAGCGCATGCAGAGAAATCATCAACAAGCTTGAAGATCAGCTTCAGCAATTTGGAAGCGCAGAAGCCGACCTGAAAGACTTTGACGGCGTTCCTGGCCTGGACATCGTGAATCTGGTGTTGCAACACACGCCCAAGGACTCTCCTCGAATCCTGATACCAGCGTCAGAAGTTCAGTATGCCACCAAGGCTTTACTCGATAAATCTGACCGCCGCTACAAGGTGTCTGCATCCGATGAGCGAGACCAGACTCAGTCTTAGCTCGTCGGTCATGTCGACCGCGCCACGACGATGAGCGAGCAAGCGCCCTCCTCCGGCTCGCTGCGGTGGCAGATCGCTCGATCCAATCATGTCTAACTGCTAAGGAGTGTGCAGCAAACATTAGGATTCGCCTATTTCTGTGTTGTTGCCCCATATGTCATGTTGCCCCATATGTCGTGGCATGAGATGGATGGTATGATCAGTCGTGAGGGTGATGCAGTCGTCAGCCCGTCAAAAGAGTGCTGAGTGTGGTGTCGGGATAGTGTGTCCCGAACGACTTCGAGTTCAGCCGAGGCACGGCAGTCACGACGCGCGATCAGACCATACGCAGCTGCTTGAGCCAGCTGCGGGCGCCACGCAGCCGACTGTGACTGCAGCAGCGCAGACCCCATGTATGTATGTGCGGTCACAGTATATGCCATGCCATGTTAAATAATTGCTGGTGCTCAAGTCGCCTTGCATTTCGCCCCCGCAACCGCATCAATTCGCGGCATGCAGGTCAGCCTAGCTGGCTCGTGCACCTACAGTGCCGGTACATATAATAGCAAGGCATCAAGCAATCACTTTTGGGCCAAGCGCATGCAGACTTGATCGGTGCACGGCAGCAGCGCGTGTGAGATCCTCAACCTCGATCCATGCTGCGTATGCCGCAGACTGACGGCTGATTGCATATTGACGCAGAATCATGCATGCTGCTGGGGATGCCGCCACGAACACCGCGGCGGTTGCAAGCAGCATTATTATGTGTTGAAGCGGGGCGCGGGCGCACGGACTCATTCTGCGCTGCTGTGCACGCTGTGCGCGCTTGTGCA